ATTTGTGGACTAGATCTTGGGTCTTGAATCCAGTATGGGCCCCTAATCCAGTATGGGGCCCTAACGCTTCAACACGCGAAGCACTTTTGGATCTGAGATTCAAGATTCAGCATTCCCAGGTCTCTTGTTTCTTGAAGCCATGTGCCTGGAAAGCCTGGAAAGCGCTTTGCGTTTCCTGGTGGATTCAAGATTCAAGATCTATAGTCCCAGTCTTGGATCTTAGATGCAAAAGTGCTTTAAAGCGCTTTAGATCTTTTCTGGCCGGATGCAGTTACCCAGTTAAATGCTCATTTAATTCATACACACATACGCCTACTGTCCACCAATCAATTGCAAAGTTTTGTTGTTCATGTAAAGTAACTGCAGGTGCTGAATAATGTGGTGTACAAATGTGCGGTGCCTGAAACATCGCCCAACAATACTGCAAATACAGTCAAATTTTGTTGGGGGTGGATGTTTTTGGGGTTGAGAGGTACCATATATTCATGAATGTATGCCCCCGGTTCTAAACGTGCAACGAGCACCACTTAATGCGGTTTCACTTGTGAATGGGTGAACCTCCTTCGGTCTGTAAGACCTGCGTTGGTAAATGGGGAGCGGCTTTTGGGCCGTATTGCCGGCTTTGCCGCTCCTTTCATAGCCTTGGGCATCTTCTACTTGAACGTTTTCCGGAATTCTCATTTTTAGCCAAGACTTGAGCATCCAGTGAAGAGAAGGTCAGGCGGATGTGGAAAGAGCGCTTCCCAAGGTGAAACTAAGGGTCTTGGGAAGCCTGGCTTCTTTCTTCCTTTTGCAGAGCTTCGGTTTGGCGGAGCGACAGTGCCGAGGCCCCGTCAACTTGAAAATCCGGGGAGACTCAGTTGAAATGTACTCTTGGAAGCAAATGAAAACCTAGCCTTTTCCGGCTTCCTGTGCAATGAAGGGAGCGCAGTTGAGTGCTTGGATAAACGCCCTTGAAACGAGCGCCACTTATTGGCTGTCAGCTAGCACACCCGCCCTGAAAATTAGGGTCTTGCCCTTGTCAGTAGGGCTCTCGGTTTGGTGGAGCGTCTGGGGAAAGCCTTCTAAGATTGACAAGTTGCGCAGTAAAGGAGCGCAGTTGAGTGTTCATAAATAAATAAATAAATATATGTATATATATATATACATATATGTGGTACTCCCCCCTTGGAATACTCAGGTTCTTTGGCCAGAAATTGACATTTTGGCTGTAAAAATACATGTTAACCGCACGTTCCAGCTTCTAAACTGAGGCTCTAAAACAGCACTCCTTTTCTAGACTTAAATTCTAGCATCGGTACTTAGTGCAATCCAGGATGTGCTAGCACGTGCTAGCACATCCTGGATCGAAGATTGAAGGTTTTCTGACATTTCTTTCTGGGAATCTTCAAACCTGTACTTAGGGCAATCCAGGGTGCGCATGTGTAGCACGTGCTAGCACATCCTGGATTGAAGATTGAAGATTGAAGATTCTCCGACAACTCTTTCTCGGATTCTTCAATTTCATTCTTCAATCCAGGATGTGCTAGCACGTGCTAGCACATATTTTAGTTTGTCCTAAGGATGCACTTGAAGATTGCCAGAACAAGTGGTCTGAGAATCTTCAACCTTCAATCTTCAATCCAGGATGTGCTAGCACATCCTGGATTGCCCTAAGCACACATTTGAAAAATTATATAAAGAGTTGTCAGAGAATCCTCAATCTTCAGCCCAGCATGATCTAGCACGTACCACATCCTGCATTGCCCTAAGTGCGGATTTGAAGAATCCAAAAAGCAGACAGGGAGTGCATGTTGACACAATCAATTTGTGTATGTGCACTTGCACTGCCTGCATATGGCCAGGGGAGAAACATGTTGTTTGACACCTTTACAGTTTGTTTGTGGGCTGGCCGGGACGGAAGATTCTCAAATACAACATATGGTAGATCTTCACACTTCAACGCAGGGGGCAAAACCTTACTGAGTCTAGAAGAAACTGTCAAGCTTTCGGGTGGCCATATGTTTGTGGAATCTTGTATGTTCGATCTTCGATCCAGACCAACACGATCTGAGCAAATGCTGAAACAGCGCTGTGTTTTACAGCATGTATGCTAATAATATGACCTATGTTTGAAAACACTTGTTTGTCGTCGGCTTGGCTCAGTTCTTGTTTGCTTAAAACCACATGAACTTAGATACGGACAGTCACCGTTTTGAAATTGAGTTTGATTCCAAGTTCATTTGGCCACGACAATAGCTTTGTTCTCCATTATTTTGAAACGTGCAAGAAACCGCACGCGACGAAACATGAATTTGGTTTGAGCTCGAAAGCGTTTTAAATTGCCAATGTTTGAATTTTAATAGTTGTTATTGAGATGGTTGCATCAAATTAGACAAGCAACACACAACTGAGCCAGTTGTTGTGCAAAAAGTGTTTGAATCAGACTGAATTAGAATATACAGGGAATTTTGCGCAACACTTGAGTTAACATGTAAATGCAACTGCCCAAGGACATCAAACACTTTATATTTCATTTTGGATGCCAGTTGCAAGTAGGAATGAGTTCCTTTTCCGAAGTTGATGATTTGCTGAATTTCCTGCGAAACAAAAACACCACATAATTGAGCTGCGAGGCAAGTTGAAGCTGCCAAAGCATACTTCGCGCACTACTCTTGTGCAGAAAAGCTGTGCTTTTTGAGCTGGAGCTGCCAAAGTGCACTTTGCATTCTTTAAGTGCACTTCGCGCACGCCAATGCGACTTTCGAGCTGTTTAAATAGGAACTCCTATTCAACGTTGAGCTTAACTTCTGCTTGGTTGGATTGTGCGTGGAGTCGTGCGTCCTGTCAGTTCATTTCAGAGTCTCAAGTCATTTGTCACCCCCAGTCTGCCCAAAAGACCAAGTTCTGGCCAAAAACCTGAGTATTTCGAGGGGGGGGTAGCCTATATATGTTTATCTGTGTATGGTCAGCCCCCTTGCTGCACCTTTTGCTGTTTGAACTCCTGTGAAACAGTTCTTGTGTGTATTGACAGCGCACATTTTTTATGCCAGACTGCCTGGTGTTCTGTCGTGTTGTTTCCCGCTTCTTTGAGTTGTAGACCTCTGTTGGATTTGCCGAATCACGAAGTGTGTTTGCAAAACCCTGGCCGAATTCTGGTCTCCGGGGCATTCTACTTTGAGTTGGGCGTGCCAAACACACGCGGGTGTTTACAGCGTTTTCTTGTGGTCCGCGCTTTGCAACGTATCATATACAACGCATGTTTTTCACGTTCTTTGCAAGCTGAATCTGACTAAAGCCCTGGTGCAAGTCCTTTTGAAGCTGCTTGTAAAGTTCCGCGTGCTGCCCCTTATGAAGCTCCTTCATAAACCCCCTTAACATATTTTTTCAAGGCTCCTTATACCAAATAGGATGTTGACAAAAAGCAGCATGTAATCAAACAACAATTGGAATTCCTACTCGCTGTGAGAATTCCGCCAAGCATGATTCTCATGCTGATATTTCGTGTTCGTAGATTTTGAGAGGGAACGAATTTAACCAGAGTTCCAATGTGAATTTTATGGATTCCTTTAACAAAAATAATTACAGTTGGATTTAATCAGAGTTCGAGTAGAGTTTCACAACGATGGAACCGTAATAGAAGTTCTATTTTGCAGATGGCACACGGAACAGACAGGAAAATGTACAATGACCTGCAGGTGGGACATCTTTCGCGAAACATGTGCCTTGCTCTTGCAGATGGGGCAGAACACAAACAGGAATGATATGCAAAAGGTGGATCAGGGGCCTCAGCATTCAAATATGTGTATATATATATAGGTTATACTATATATGCATGTACGCACAGTACATCTAAATGTGTGTGCACGCGCAAAATTTGGCACGCATGCATGGAGCTTGCGCATATGCTGTATGCTCTTGTGCATGCGTTTCAGACTCGTGCTTACCAAGCCAGCTGACCCTTCAATTTGGCCCGATAACGCTGCTTGGGGTCACTCCAGTGTTGCACGTGATTGGTACTTCACTTTGCTTGAATGCAGCCAAGGTTACGGAGAGCTTTCCTAGTCGCTCGCATTCGGGCACATGGACAACAAGAAGGCCAGCGCCTACAGGGAGGATTGGCAGAGCCGGCGGCGAATCGACGCTTGCGGACGTTGGCGCTACTCCAAGTTTCCACCTGGCAAACATGTTCCGCCTGGAAAGACAAGGAGACTAGTTTCAACGACGAATGAACACATGCAGCTGCGTTGTAGAGGGAAGATGTGCAAACGGATCTCGCAGAGCGGAGGTGACTTGTGTATGCAATGCATAGAGTAAGGGCCCACAGACACGTATGTTGCGGTTGGCAACTCACATTTCGGGCGCTCCCGATGCTGCCTCTGACAGAGGAGGCTGGCGAGGAGGTCCAGGATGATGCCCCAGTCATGCCAAGACACTCGCCACGACACTCGCCTGGCAGACTCATCACCCAAGCGCACGTGGGAGAGACACCTCACCCAGTCGTACAGGGGCTTTGGAGCTGAGGGTACCCAGCTTGATATTCCCACAGCATATTTGGAACGCACTGTCTAAGTTGTTTGCTTCTCAGAGTTCTGAGAGAATGGCATGGGGCCACGCAAATTGCCCTCACACGGCAGAGGTGGCACGGGCTGAGATGTGCGAGCGACTCCGGTTTTTCCCTGTGCCTTCCAGCCGCTGGCTGAGCCGACGGCGGTTTGCGGCCTGCCAGAATTGGCGGCTGGTCTCCTTGCAGAGCGGACCCCCTTCAGCTCTTGCATTGATTTCCTGGCATCACTGGTTCCCTGGGTTGCCTGCATCCTGTTAAAGTTTTGCCGGTTCCGCCGGAGCCACAAGGGACCACTGCGTTCTTACGGCAAAGCCGCAATGGCGCACAGGCGTCGGATGTGCGTTTTACAGTCTGGTCCTGGGCTTGCAGCCTCGGGCGGTTTTCTGTCGCACTGTGCGACGGCAGAAAGGGAGTCTGGGCATCGGCGCTGTCAGGATGTCGATGTTGCTGTGGGATGTGACTTATGTGCGGACCAGGTTCACTACTCCTCTGTTTTTGTAGGCACAAGGCTGTCAGGCAAACTGCCTGAAGAGGCTCAGAGCAGAGCTATGTCGTCCTGGCAGCAAAGACGTGCTCACATCTGGCTTGAACTGCCCGTTTGCTCTCGAGGCCCCGTGAGTTTCATGAAAAGAACACAGGAGAAAGCGTTCTTAGACCTGGCCACAGTCCAGCAGCCTGCATCGTCAGAAACACAACATCTTGTTGCCACAGCGCTTCAGTTTAGCATGCTCTCAGACCACGCTCAGGACTTTGCCTGTTCTATGGGTCTACTAGCCTTCGTGAGTGCTGTTTGTCCTTCGTTCAGTACCATAGTCACAGACCAGTAGCAGTAGCGTTCCCTGACGCTCGGCTTCCACGAGATGTCCAAAGGCAGGAAACGACTCCACACTTTTGTCAACGCCGGTGTTGCAGGCCCTCGATGGGCTGCACTGGACTCGCCCTCAGATAACTGTTTTTCCTGATATATATATATATATAATAATACATTGCAGCCGCTGGGGCGGTACCACTTTTTCACCCGCAGACGAAGACGAATTGCGAAGACGAATTCCCGAAAACGAATTCCAACCCGAAGACGAATTGCGAAGACGAATTCCCGAAGCCGAATTCCGTCCCGAAGCCGAATTTCCCCCCGAAGGCGAATTGCGAAGACGAATTCCCCAAGACGAATTCCAACCCGAAGGCGAATTGCGAAGACGAATTCGCCGGAGCCAAGCTCCCTCCCGAAGCCGAATTCCTCCCGAAGACGAATTGCGAAGGCAATTTCCCGAAGACGAATTCCCCCCCGAAGACGAATTGCGAAGACGAATTCTCCGAAGCCGAATTCTCCCCCGAAGCCGAATTCCCTCCCGAAGACGAATTGCGAAGACGAGTTCGCCGAAGCCGAATTCTCCCCCGAAGCCGAATTCCCTCCCGAAGACGAATTGCGAAGACAATTCGCCGGAGCCAAGTTCCCTCAAGAACACGGGTTCCCCTAATGAATGCCGTTGAGCAAGCATGCTGACAGCGAGCGTTTGTGGTAATTTCGTTCCCTTACCATAGACGGCGCCCTACATAGTAGATGCTTTTGTCAAAGCCCAATCCTTCACTAGAATAGTTCATGCAATTTGAAACCAGTATTGATCTATCGATGGTTTTCTTCTAGGAGGCCCGCTGCCCTCAGCCAGTCAGCGTTTGTTAGAAAAGAAGACCCTTCCTTGAAAACAGTTTTTGTTAGACCTCTCGGCTTTGACCCTGTCCCCGTCAGAAGTGCAAAAAAACACAACACTGAACACCCAGCGCCTGGAACCGGGGACCCCTAATAATATAAGACGTTATAATTGCGCAGTTGGCATGTTTGGGTTGTTTTCTGATGAGGGGAAGGGATTAGTTTAGCAGGGGGTCGCGCAGATGATGCCTTCTCCTCTTTCGAGGGTTTCCTTCTCGTCCCCCTAAGAATAGAGGGCCCCCTAGATAGTAGATGTTTTTGTCTGCTAAGAATCTCCGAGCCGCAGGCTAAAACATCCTAAGGGCAGGTTCTGAGGGTCACCCTGTTACTTCCCCTTGTTTAAGGTTCAACATTCGGAAATGATAGTTCCAGCGGTTCCACAGGTATGCTTGCAGTGCCGGCGATTGCAGACTCTCCGGACACCCAACAAAGTGCAAGTTCTGATATTAGCCATGACCTATCACATTCATCCTGGAAGGAAGTTGGTCATGCCGTGTGGTCCAAAGACGGAGAAAAGAAGAGATCGTCATCAGCTTCATTATCGACACCGAGAAGGAGCGTTAAGGGCGTCATGAGTCCTGTGAGAAAGAAAGAAGGGCGATCCAAATCGCCTACAGGCTCTAGTCCGTCTAAGATCACTCAGGAGAACAAGACCCTCAAACAGGAAGTGCAGGAGGCTAAGCGCAATTTGGCTATGCTACAGGAGTCATATGAACGTGACGACCAGGGCAATGTCACGCGCATCTCCAGGAACTGGAACGGAGAGCCGGTATGTCGGAACAACAAGTAGCCCGTATCCTCAAAAGATCCGACGAACAACTTCGAGAAGCTGCTCAATACATTGACATTCAACGTGGGAAGACAAAGCTATCCGAAGATCAGGCGCAACACCTCGTGAAGATCTACGGAGAGTATCAAGACGAAGCCCGACTTAAAGTCCTCGAGTACAAGAAGCGACATCAGGAGATGGCCGCGACCGTGAATCTGCTTGAGCATCGAATCAGGTGCGAGGAAGAAAGCTCATTGGTCAGCAAGAGTAAGGCTGAACAAGAAAGAAGGAGCACTTCTTCCGAGATCGCTCAGTATCAATCAATGATCAACTCCTCCCAGGTGAAGATCACTACGGACTCGCAGAACGAGGAGAACACCATTCGTGGTTTGCGTGAGAGACTGGAGATAGCGTTGTTGCCGCAGCCGAAAATGGCGATCGATGACGAGCCACAAAACATATTGGTGAGCAAAGCAAATGATGCTATCAGGTACGCTGAACAAGAAGCCCATTGCACACGGGTTGCCGTGAGCGAACGGGATGAGATGTATTTGATTGGACAACGTGCAGTACAGGAACGCGACGCGAAGATGAATGAGGAGATCAAGATCGCTAGAGATCGAGCTCATCAAGGAAACGCATTACATGATCGCGCCACGCTGAGGGATCAGCAGTTTGTCGACGTGACTCGCGAACTCGCAGCATCAAGACAAAAGGCTATTGATGCGAAATCCGATTGCCTCAGCCAGATCGCTGTAATGTCCGAAGAAATCGAAGCGACACGACAAGAACTCAAGATCCAAGAGAGCTTTGTGTACCAGTTGGCAGAGACGAACAAGGAACTCGAGAGCGAGAATGCCACCCAAATGGCCATCGCGGCGGATGCCAAAGATCGTGGACGAGCTCTACTGAGGGATGACTCCGTTAGGACCGGTAAACGCCAAAATTCGAAGATGCGTAAGAGTGATACCACAAATGGGCCTCGGCAACAACAAGGTCAGGTAATGCTCTATCAGACTACAATGGCGGCATCTAGTTCTAGTGTGCAGGCGCCCAATGTTCTTAAGCCAAGTGATTACAGCCTTGGACCGGGTTCTGTTTCGTTTCCTGTTTACCAAGACCCAATGATACAGGCTCATATCGACCAACTCCATGGCGGTAGGATCTATTCCAAACAAGAGATTTGGTTCAACCGGCAATAATGGAGGTGGTGGTGGTCATGGAGATGGCGGTCCACCTGGTCTCGGTTATCACAATAACGCGGGGGTTCTAGGACGTGCTCCTGTCCCAGCTGCAACAGGAGGGCCAAATCCACCTGATCGGCCTGACGACGATGATGATGGAGACGAGGACGACGAAGAGGAACCGTCCGATGATGATGATGATGATGATGATGATGATCGCCGTCGCAACAGAAGATCATCGCGAAGAAGAAGGTCGAGAGATCGCAGAGATCATGACAATGGTCGACCAAGGATATCACAGAAGGAAGCTGAGAGAGTCAATGTACCTCCATGGCCGAAGATCACGAAGCTGGACAGCTGGAAGATGGCACTCACCATGAACGTCACCAGTGCTTCAGCAGACCCTGATACCGAAGAATGGGCAATATTGCGGAATGCAATTGATGTTGATGAGGAAGGAAAGATTCAACCAAAGAAGAAGGATGGCACCGGTAGCTCGAAGGACGCCGCACCTGCAGAAAGTACAAAGGTCAACGCTCCGAGCGCTAAGAGAATCAAAGCGACGCTCAAAGAAAGATGGGTGGTGATCAGTGGTTGTACGACTGGGGCATACGGAAGAACACAAATAAGGTCAAGAAGCCTGTTGAGGGAAAGTTCTTGGCGGACCTGGATTGGACGAGGATCATTGTCAACCCGGTCGATGGGTCAGTCTTGTGCATGGACTCCAAACGTCTTCAAGATCTTGGTGCAACCAATGTGGCATTGGACGAGGTCTATGGAATCCTGGTGGTTATCTACGCATGGAAGTTTACTCCAAGGGAAGGTCTCGCATCTATCCCAAAGAACGACCATGATCCCTGTCGCTTAGAGCTTCCGGACAAAGGAAATCTTGTATTGGGACCTTGTAGGTTCATGTGACCGCCAGATTTCGACCGCAAAGAATCGGCGCACCCAGAAAAGTCAGCATCAGCATAAACTGCCAAACACATATCTTCGACTGAATCTCCGACCCAGCCAATCATCCTCCAATGCTTGGTGCGATGAATGTAACACATCAAGTGATGAAGTTTCTTATCATCGTCGGTTGTCCACCTGGTGATGTTCCTCGCCAGACGGTTGACCTGCCTGAGTAAGTCAAAACGTGCAATTCTAGCACCATACAATATTTTCATGAGCACACTTCCCCCATGAGGTGCGAGTTGTCTCCGGATGAGCTCCTTCCGAAGTCCCTCCTGCTTGGCATGATGGAGTTTCATAACCATTCGCGGGAACTCTGTTTCCAAAGTGGGGGAACGTTTGCCAAGACCGACCAATGCTGGAAGCCACGTTCCTGAAGTTTGTCAGGGAGAACATGACTTCTCACATGACGGGCCTCAACAGGAAGAGAAGCGGCGCAGTCAAGCACATGGAAGTTCCCAGCAGGACCGTCAGGGACATCATGGACAGACTGGAGTACTCGAACCCGTTCATCGACATCGAGGACGCCCGGTTCATCAGGCCAAAACAAGAAAGCGGGCGAGTCCGATGAGGACGACGCTGATCGTGGTCGTGAACCCGATGATGCCGAGGAGCCCGAAGCCAAACAATCGAGAGTCGAGAACATCGCCTCAAGACGAGCAGAATTGTTGCGGATGTTTGAGGATCTTTGCGATCGAGCTGGCGAACTGCAGATTTGCATGAAGTGCGGGAAAGAAAACATTGCAAGAGCAATTGAGTCTGACTCGGCACGTGGCAAGATCACAATGCTGTTTCTTCCAGAAGGGCATCCCTCATCCGATGAAGACATCGAAATGCATGATGATGATGAAGAAATGGCTCCGATGTCCAGCGAACCTGACAAACCGCATCAACCGGAAGCGGAGGCGCCGATCTTCTATCCGAGGGAGGAGTTCCACAAGTACAACGACGTCGTGAACCTAGATGGCTGATTTGGCAGAAGGAGGAGAACTCCATGTTGGTCAACTTGACCTACGCACGAATGCGAACGGAACCATGAAGGAGTACAACCGCATGCTCGATTCGTTTGGTGGAGCAAAGCCCCTCTGTGATTCCTCAACCCGTTGATGGGGCAGTTTGCGAAGGTGTACAAGGGTATTCATGTATGACCAGCACGCTGCCAAAGGGATTGCACTTAGAAGTCATGAACACGCAGAACAGAGACACAAGTTTTCCCTATTGGCCGTACAACGAGTACACAGCGTTTGGATCTAACATTCACCACCAAGACTTGTTCCATACGTCGAAAGCACTGGTGAAGATCCTACGACATCAAATTGGCCAAAAGTGGGGGAACCCTATTCCTTGCAATGGTGGAGGATGGGTGAACATCGACCACATCCTGAGTCGCGAGAGCGCGTTCCCGCAGGATCGGTACAAGAAGAGCGACACATTTCAAATGGTCGCCGAGCGCATCAGATCGGAGGATCGGAAAGCACGAAAGCCGAGACTGCAGATCCTTGCTGCGAAGTTTGATCAGGAGATCGACATGGAGACGATGGCGGGTCTCATAGCTGCTGGATGGGCGGAGAACGACATTGACTGGATTCGTCGCGAGCATGGCGGATGGTGGCAACCATGGTGCATTCGAGCGTCATCAGGGCATTCGGATTTCGGATTCGCTCGTCGTCCTGCTCAACCTTGCAACATCTTGTTCCCGAACATGTCCGATCGCTTGGGCGGAGCATTTCACGTGACAAAGCCATCAGCCCTGGAAGGTATCATTTTGAGAGGTATCGTTCCTGGCGGCAACGACAGTGCGCGAAGGCTGGCGGTACACTTCGGAGTATTTGCACCTTGGGACAGCAAAAACATCTCGACCAAGACTGCAATGCACGACGTCAAAGAGGGAGATGACCTCATCGCCATCTACGTGCAATCAAAGAGGGAGAGACCATTCCCTTCAAAGAGATAAGGGCAATCTGGAGCTTCAAGTCCACGAAGAAAGGGCTTGTGAAAGAGGTTAGGCGGTTCTACTCCCGCGCCGTCGAGAGCGAGATCTGTCCAGGATTTAAGGACGCTGTGGGCGTGACCCCGGCGGACTTTAATGGAAACCTCAACAGTTTCCTGGACGATGAAGACTCAGCGGACGCCGACATCCTGAAGAAGATGGTCGTCGATGCTTGCGTCAACATCGGAGTGCCCGAAGCCTTGGGCAAATCGTTGGTAGAGATCAGGGATTGCTCAGCAGATTCATCATCTACCGCGAGGACGACCCATCAAGCATTTCCAACAGAGTATGCCCAGCGTGCGCTATCGTCATTCAAATGGGATTTTGCTACTGCGCGGCATGCGAGTGTGACTTCATTTCCACCGGCAAGTTCGTGATCCATGTGGATGACGACGAGCCAAAACCATCCGACACCACCAATGTGACGGAGGAATTGAAACAAGCTCAGCGAGAAGCAAAGGAAGATGCTGAGCGATTCGTCGCCGAGGAAGAACGACCCGACACCCAGGAGATGAGTGAGGAACGGTCTGCAGGCAGATCGTTCATCCCGTCGGATATCGGGACGGACATCGACGATGAAGACCCGGGAGTTTGTCCGGACAACCCAGAGGAGGATGCGGACGCAACTCATCTCCTGCAAGTCAAGGCCATCTGCGTTGACGAAGCCGGCAAGGCATCATACCTCTCTGAATTCATTGGCGTCGTACTTTTCAAAGTATGGAAGGTGTTCGCCAACAACGAGGCAGATGTGGTCAAGGAGCCTGGCAAAGAAGGCGGACTATATACTGTCCCTACATCTCGATCAACGGGAGGGACGATTGGATTTTCAAAGATGTTGATGAACAGAATATTCCAATCCCGCCAACCTATGAAGAGGTCACTGCCGCTCCTAAGTTCAAGAATGTGAGGTTCAAAAGCGCAAACCACAGGGACGAAGAAATGTCATCATGTTCCGGATTTGGACCGCCTGCAATATACTTGGTATTAAAGCAGAGCAGTTCAGAGGTGTCAGCCATCAGAAGGACATTGCCTTCGTCAGCGACACAATACTCCGTTGCATCGCCCTCGGCCTCAACTGCGATTACATGACCTTCTACCGAACAGATGTGAACATTGGACGCAAGTTCTTGAAACTTGAGCTTGGCGCCATCATTTGCGTCGACACTCCTCTTCTCCAATGGTGCTATTCGAATCACGCAATATACATCTGCCCTCGCCCTTTATCGAGAAGATCAATCGGACCGAGGAGACACTAGATTCTCTGTTAGAAAGGTTCCGGTGGAGGGCGAGTAGAAAGGCCATCGCAGAAGCATCACACTGGTGATCAAGAAAATTTCTTTACGATTTCTTCTACGTGGGGAACCAACTGCAAATTGCAGTTATATACAAAGCGGGATCGTGATACTCATCGTGAATGATATCCTGGCCAGCCGTGGTGGTACTCGTCGTGCACGGTACACTGGGCAAGCCAAAAGTACTTGCATGAGACTTGCACTTATCACCACAAAATGTTTTCTTGTTTCCGTACAGTATCGTCATCGGCGACTACTATTCTGGAGATGCGCGTGTGACGCAGTTGACGCAAATCAGCAACAGTACAGTCTACATGAGGTCTCGTGAATTTCCCGTACGGGGTGCGTCACTGAGGGTCGCCGGACAGCTGCCCGGGCGCGACACAGATGGACTGTCTACTACGGCGCCCTTCCTGGAGCAGGATTTGCCTTCGAGCGACGACGATAGCTGGATCTTCGACCAGCGATGATAGCTTGATCTTTCGACCGCGCTTCAAAGCAAGCTGCGCCTGACACATTGCACGCATCAGCTGTGAAAAACGCTCATCATTCGGATAGAGATTGGGAAGGTAATGGGCGCTTCTTCTATTGAGATCGCTTGCGAAAGATGTAGCCTCAGGGCAAGGGTTCAAGTTCCTTGTAGACACAAAAGTCTTGGAAACCAGCATGGCGGTCCGGTCCACAGGGGCGGGATGTGGCGTCAGAATGCGGCGTCAGCGGGGAATGCGGCGTCAGCCAGGAATGTGGCGCCAGGGAATGTGGCGTCGGAATGCGGCGTCAGCCGGGAATGCGGCGTCAGGGAGGAATGTGGCGTCAGGGAATGTGGCGTCGGAATGCGGCGTCAGCCAAGAATGCGGCGTCAGGGAGGAATGTGGCGTCAGCGGAATGCGGCGTCGCCCAGGAATGCGGCGTCAGGGGTGAATGTGGCGTCGGGGAAGGCGGAGTCACAACGCGGCGTCAGCCGAAAATCTTGCGCCAGAGAATGTGGCGTCGGAATGCGGCGTCAGCCGGGAATGCGGCGTCAGGGAGGAATGTGGCGTCAGGGAATGTGGCGTCAGAATGCGGCGTCAGCCGGGAATGCGGCTTCAGGGGAAAATGTGGCGTCAGGGAATGCGGCGTCACAGGTTTTTGGAATGCAGCGTCAGAAGGCGAATTCAGCGTCAGGTGGAAAAGCACTGTCCCTTTTGCGGCCGCCCTGTAATAATAATCATAATCATAATAATAATAGTAATAATAGTAATAATAATAACAACAACAACAACAACAACACCACCACCACCACCACCACCAACAACAACAACAACAACAACAACACCACCACCACCACCACCACCACCACCACCACCACCACCACCAACAACAACAACAACAACAACAACAATAATAGTATTAATAATAACAATGATAATTATAATAATAATAATAATAATAATAATACTAATACTAATAATAATAATAATAATAATAATAATAATAATAATAATAATAATAATAATAATATATATATATAAACATCATTCCTCCATGGCGTCCAAATGCGTTTCCCTGGCATGAGGCGGCATTGGCCACTTTGAGCGCCTGGCTGTCAAGACTAGATGCGCCTCAGCACAACCACCATTCGGCTTTCGCGCAGCGCCCAATTCTTTCTTTTCCTGAGGTGGCGTCACTAGACTCGAAGATGTTCGGATCAGGAAGGCCACCAAATGCGCAACTAATTCCTGGGCTTCTGGACAGAGATGCAAAACGTATCAAAGCCAGTGCCTCATTGACTCATGCGCGTCCGGGTGTCAATCATTCAAGCCAAGGGCGCCAAATGGCGGCAAGGCACGTTTAGCAATCAGAAGCCAGAAGAAAGTTCAGCGCAAACTCCGGAGGCCCTGCGCTGATGGAAGAGGCCAAGCGTCTCTGCCTCAGCTTCAAGAGATTTGGCATGTCGAATACGATATCAGTTTCATCAGGAAAAGTTGATCCGGCGATGTGCCCGGCTCAGTCCGCGTGCGGTTTCCAAACACTTGAAACTCAGTCAAGTGGCGTCTCTGCTTGGCAGAATTGCATTTGCTGGTTTGCCCAGGCCTCCATTGGAGGACCGCGTCTATGTGGTAACAGGGGCCACGCGTGGTCACGGCCGTGCCCTTACTTTTTATTCGAACAAATTCGCTGCAGCTTTGCTGATATTTAAGTTGGCGTACTATGTTAGCTTGTCTGGGGCCCGCAAAGTGTTGTGAGCATGCGCAGTTCGAGGCGTTCACACGGCTGCGCGTTTACTGGATGCCGGCTGCACCGTTATTGGCTCAGACTGTGTCAGTCAGGCGTATGGGACAGAAGGAGGCTGCAGTCCTTTTTTCACTTTCACTGCATGAGCTGCGCGAAAAGGAAACGCTAAATGCCCTCAGGTCATTCTTCATGGCAAGGATGAAGGTTGTTCACTCAGTCGAACACATGCCAGGTAGCAGTGCTATGTGCGACGCTACGGCAGGAGTTCACTTTTTGCATTTGAGTCAGGACGCTTGGTGGATTACGCGCTAGAATTGGGTGCCGCCCCTGAATGTCCTTGTTCTTCTCCAGCAAACGCGTCAACCAAGGCAAGGCTTTCCCGGACGGCAAGATCGATACGTTCCTCTGTGACCTGCGCGAGCCGGACGAGGTGAAGGCACTAGGCCATCTCATAGCTGACGGGTACTCAGCTTGTGACACACCTGTCACTTGGTTGACACAGTGACTGCTTCTGTGCTGAGGAGCGCCATCCGAAAATTCACGGCATTCTGCACAACGCTGCCACGATTGACGGAACAGCCCTCAGAGCGGGTGCAAGAAGGAAGATGTTAATGTCTGGAAACGACTAGCGGCACCAGCAAACAACAAAAGAAATCGGGGCTGTCGTTGGCAGGCAAGGAATCTTGCTTTGTGGTCCTGCCTAAGGAGACTTCACTGGGCGTCGGTGCTACACCTGGAATGACCCAGCCTTTGGCAGAAATGGCAAAGTGGAGCATTGTGTTGCCGACTGCCTTACACGTCATAGATTGATATTTTATGAGCTTCCTCAAGGATCGCATGGAGACCACCATCGCGGTCAATGCGTGGCACTCTTAGTGTTCCAAGCGCAGCTCGTGGCTGCAACTTTGGGTGGCAGTCCAGGTCAGATTGCTTGCGTCTCATCGAATCTATCAGGATGGCACCATTCCTCTTGACCGCGGGGTTGATGCCGCTTGGACACTGCAAGCTGCCGCGAAGCGCAGCGAAGCGCAGCGCTCCAGGCCGCAGCTGCAAGCTGCAGGCAACGCCCGGGTGATGTTTGCCTCGCATCTCGGCAATTGATGGGCAGATCGGCTGAGTGGTACGCTCCCTCACATGGAAGCTCCCAGAAGGTGTGTGTAAATGGAACCAAGTCTTTCAAAGGGGTCCTGGGAGCTTCCATGTTAGCCTGGGGGAGGGTACCTCTCTTTCTTGCAATGAACCTATTCACAGCTTGCAGGTTGCAGCTTGCAGGTTGCCGCTTGCAGTACTCTTTCGGGCTAAAGCCCTGCCTAGGTCGCCTACGATGAATGGTCACCACCCCAGCATTTTGCCATGGCAGTTCTTTGCGAGCAAGGGACTACTTGATCGAAGCTTTTGTCACAGGGTCCACCAGTACAGGACAGGTTCCACTCCGGTTGCTAATTTTTGATTTATGATGCCCTGTTGGAACACGGAGGGCTCTTGAAAACCAGCATGACACCGATTGTCTGTGTATCAAAGAGCACGATTGAAGCCGCTTTGCATCAACTTGCCTTCATCCCTGCTTCGACGGAGTTCCGTGGGCATGGTATGGCCAGAGCTCCGTTGTTGATTGTGATTCCGAGGGTGCTATCTTACGATTTTCAGTACTTTCTTTCAGACCTTCCTTTGAGGGAAGGCAGTTTTGCGTCTGAAGTCATCCAGTACCTGCAAACTGCCATTATCCCGGACAAGCACCATGAGAATGTAGACCCAGGCGTTTTCACAAATGCCTATGCAGACTCAGACTTCAACTCTCCATCTTACCGCCAACGTCATATGTGCCAGCGTCCCAGAGCACAGGCACCGCAAGCTGAGATTTTGGAGGCCAGCACAGAGGAAGTCAGCAAATTCATGCTCTCAGCAGAGTTTGAGTTCAGTGTGCCTGGCCATCTTAAGATAAGGTCCCAGACTTGCTTCGTTTGTTGGACTGACACGGTTTGCGATGATGATATCACCATCACAGGCGTGCTAAGGGTGCAGAGTTTGGTTCGAAGCAGGGGGCCTTGCACCTGGATCCTGGACTTCAGAGCCTAAAGTGGACGGATGTCATGCAGACCTTCTTGCAAGGCTGTTCGCCAATGTACATCAAGATTTGTCGGATGGAGTAGAAAAGGCTCTTCAGAGCTACGTCGCGAAGAACTTGCAGTCACAGGTTGTGTTGCCCCAGACCATGCTACTGAACTCCCCGATCTCAACTTGACATACCAGCTGCAACATTTGCAGTTTGTGTATTCCAGCAAGTCTTCCAACAGAAGCTTCGCGCTTGCGCATGCCACATGCACTTTTTCTGCCGCAGGCAAGGCAGCATCCGAGGCTTTCCAGACGGTGCGCCTTGGACCGGGAGACGCACCCGTGGGAATGGATCAGTGGAGGCGAGCGCTGGGAATTGGCCCAGAGTGGTTCTCCTTGGAGCGCGTTTCAGCGAGCTCCAAGCAAATCTCGCGCAGCATGCGCTACGCGGGCATGCTCCGCTCTCAGAGCTCCAGGGTGAAGGACGCGAATTTGTACTCATATATTGACATGTCGTGCCCGGAAGTGGATATCTCCAAGGAAAGAGCCGGAGTTGTCATGAGGCAAGACCACCTCCAATTCAGTATTGATTGTGAAGATACAATGGCGGTCAATGCCACAAATTTCAGCTTGATCAATGCCACCTTCAACAACGTGCTGGAGGAAGTCTCGGTCTCTGCGTATGTGCCAAATGACCACACAGCTGGAATTCGCCTTCAAGTCTTAAATGTGAGCATGGGCAGTGCCACTGTGTCTACCTTTCATTCTCGGGCCTTCATGGGTTCAGGCAGTGAGATGAAGGCTTTGGCACTTCATGCTATGCTGAAAGGCCTCCCTCTCATGAACGAGCAACTCAGTCACACCCCAATCATCTTTTGCGGTGGATCTTCGGCTTGTGCCTTGGTCCGATCCCTTCGTGCCACATGCTGTTACTAGGCCGAGACAGAAGTCCGGCTATGTGCAGCTTGGCGATGCCAATGTGGGAGCTCTGACTTCTATGAGTCGTGCGGCTTCCTGTGTGAGGTCAAGCTGGAGAGACCACTTGAAGTGAGACTACATCAACTGAGCCGTGTGTCAACACCAAACATTGACCAAAGGTCGTCTTCACGTGGGGCTTGGATCAGCCTATTTTCAAACTTGATGTGCAGCTTCGTTCCAGGCAAGGGCATCGCTTTTGCAAATGTAGCGGATGAAACTTGCACAGCAAGCGATCATCCATCTCTCTCTCCCGCATTCCGACTTCGCAGCTACGAGCATTGTTGGTACCTCTACTCTGGCTGCAGGTCAAGCAACTGTTCAGGCTGTGGCCTGAAACACAGGATGTCTGTGCGGAGATGCACTTGCCTTGCCTCCTCTGGCCCCTGCCTTGTCATGTCTTCGACCCATGATGGATGTGTCCTTTGCCTGCATGGATTGATTGCATTAGCTGACATGTGAGGGTTGAAATTGAATACATGGGACTTGCACGGCCCACAGAAGCACAGGGGAATGCATTGGGGACGGTTGCCTCCAGCCGAGGTGGGTGGTTTGCAGAGTTATCCGGCACAGGAGCTCGTTTTGGGCTCGCTTGAGAGCAGCAGGACACAGGGCGGGGGTACTCGCGATTGTGCATGGTGCTGGTGATTGCAGGTAGCGAGCATTGAACAATATATAAATATAATGTCAATCTAAGCACTACATGTGGTTGACTTCATATTGTAGCTTGGTCGATGACACTGAGAGTTGCCTCAGCTGGATTCAGATTCATGCATACCCGGCGCTGGAGACGTCTCTCCTTTCGCAGGCGCGCTTTCACGGAAGCAACGAGAATCGATGAGTGCAGTGTTTGTGGTGTGGATGGAGACCTCAAGTGTAAATCCCTGTCGCAGAGGGAGGTCGAGCAGGCTGGCCGATGTGAGGATCATGCTACACTACACGTTGATCATAAGATTTCGGTGCCCATCCCATAGCTTGTGTATGCGTTGGGGTAGCTGAAGCCAACGACACACTCACTAATTGCCATCCTCCTGCCATAGTTTGTGTTAAATTTTGAAAACGTTTCAGAACTGACCGAAGGTGCGTGGCAGCCTCTTCTGCGACAATTGCTCTGCAAACTCATGCGCCTTCAATAACGTTTCCATCGGAAAGTACGAGATGCCAAAGACGCAGCTGGGCAATCGCAGCGGATATTCTGAAGTCATCCTGGCAACTCTAAGCCCCTCCTGCAGGCATGTGTCGCAGGTCCTGATCTTCCGGATCCTGATCTGCCAAATCCAATCACACTGCTGGTTTTGCAGTGTTTTGTGACCTTGGTGACGGTCACCCTTCTGTTGCTGCTCTGGAGTTTCCGAGGCCAAGTCCGAGGCTTTTTCAAGTGGCTGTTCAAGCTTCGGTTGTGGATCCGCCTGAGATGCAGCTTGGAAGAGGAGAAAATCTTCCACTGTGGCCTTCTGTTGGGATCTGCCCTCCTTGCAGCCTGTGGCTGTGTTTGGATGCATTACAATCCTTTGGCAGGTCAGTTGATCTACATCCAGGAGACCATGGACACAAGCAACTTTGACTGGCCAGCTGCGAATCGCATGGTGGAGACATCTCGCTGCAGGGGTACTTTGATCTTCTTTATTTGTGCTGGAGTCCTGTCACTTGTCTCTATTCTTCGGTTGCTGCAGTATGTCGATGTGCGCTGTGGCACAGTTCCACCACAGGACTGTCAGAGGATCCTCCCAGGTTTGGCGTGGAGATCCATGGCAGTCTTTCTTCTGACGGAAGCGGGGGCAGCTGTGTCGTTGTTGGCCTTCTGCTTTTGGCAGCAGGACTTCTCAAATTCATTTGAGAAGCAGAAGCAAAGTGCCAGTGATTTGGGTTTCCTATCTACTGCTGTGGCCTCATCTGCTTCCGCGGCCTTTTGTATGAGAGTTGTGCTCTGCTGGATTGGGCCCGTGATGATCAACTTCAGCCTCTCCAGCAGTGCTGTCCTGTCGGCAGCTTCAGTGTGGAAGGCGCGTGGGGCCATCAATCCAAGTCTCAACTCCTGGATCCTGGGAATGTTGCTGATTCAGCAAACGACCATTTTGATTCTGAGCATAGCTTACTTCCATTCCGGCTATGCTTCAGCAGCATTGCTGTGGTCACTCATTGTTGCTACTGGATTCGAACTTTGTCTTTTAGAGATGTCAGATAGGTATGATATGTAAACAGTGACGGTGTTTTTGTCACCTTTTTGCCAGCGAGGTTGGTCGTATGCAGCGGGGTTCTGAATGCTGCGTGGTTTTGCCTACTGCGCTTGTGCACTTCCCAACTAGTTCTGAATTGCGCCATCGGGTGGTTTGTGGCTGAGACTCAGCTGATGTTTCACCGGCTTTTTGATCATGTGCTGGATACTACCGAAATCAAGCACCCACCACTTTATTCAGAATGACATTATACTTCTATTTTTCATCGGTGGGGACCATGTTATATTCATCATACGCAATCAATCATACCTGGATTCCGTTTGTGTCTTGGAGGGTTCCTCACCAGAAACTTCACATGCAAGGACCGTTGGCAGCTTCCGTTCTTGCTTTGCTCCACACTGATGACAATCTGCCTGTCATTGCTGGCCGTGGCGCTCTTCGGCAGTTCAGAGCCTCCCCAAGTGCAGGACCTCGGCCCGGAGCCCGATCCTTGTCAAGCATGCTACGCTGTAAAGAATTACACCAGCAGAGACCCCAAACAGTTGAGGACTGACGGGCAAGCACAAACATGCCAACAGCTTGTGGCTTTCTGCGCCTCAACACGGATGAATCAAAATGATGCAGTCGTGAACCCAGCACGCGTTGCGCTGCTGCACGTGTGTTGCTGGCGTGCTTCGCGTTTCAGCACCGCGCAGGAGCTGAGGTTGGGCAAGCGCGCGGTAGCGGGCGAGCGCGCGCGCGTGAACGCAAGTGTGGCTGCGCAAGCGCGAATTCAGACACATGTGTGTGTGTGTGTGTGCACGTGGAAGACACATATGTATACGACTGAAACAGCACACGCGGCACGCGCAAACGTGCACCCGTGAACACACATACACATTCACCCGCGGCGCACGCATACATGTGTTGAGCTGGAAAACCAACGTGTGCTTCTTGTAAAGCACATACACATGTGTGTACACCTGGAACACACAATTATGTTCAGCCACGACACGCTAACGTGTTCACGGGGAACACACATGTGTTCACTTGGAACAAAATGAAACGCGTATCCAATTCAGACACACATGTGTGTACACGTGGAACACGCGTGTATTCACCTGGAACAAAAAAAGGCAATCAAAGCACACATGTGTGTACGTGTGGGGCACACATATGTATACCACTGGATCAGAAATATGTGTCCAGTAACACCGCGTGTGCGATTAAAGCGCACATGTGTGTACACGTGGAACACACATATGTGCACGCGTGAGCAAACATAAATGCTTACCTAAAGCGCACACACACACACACACGTGCGCGCGCCTCGAAATCAATCATGCGTTTTTTGGAGCACATGCATGTGTACACCTGGAGAGCAAATATGTCATCAGATGCCAAAAATGTTCACCTAGCGCATAGTAATGTGTTCACGTGGAACACACATCTGTCCACCTGGAACACAAGCGCGTGTCCAAGTGGAACACACATATGTGTACACGTGAACACACATATGTGCGCACGTGAACACTCACCAATATGACACACACCAGTGTGCTCGTCCAATAAATTCAATAACAACCGTGTGTTCTGCCGTATGTATGTGCACCCGGAACACACACTCACGTAGGTTCATCTGACAACAAACATGTACTCGCCTGAAACACAAACACGTGTCCAATTGGAACACACATGTGTGCGCACGTGAACACCGAAATGTGTACACGTGGAACACACATTTGCGTACACGTGAACACACACACATGTGCATGCGGAGCAGACACGTGTTCATCTGCTAGCACACATGTTTTCTTCCGGAACACACGCATAACACACATGTGTGTGCACGTGCACACACACACACATATGTGTACACATGCAACACGCACATGTGTACACGTGAACACACATATGTGTACACGTGGACACACATATGTGTACACGCAAACACACACATATATGCACACCCGGAACACACACACACGCGTGTTCGTTTGATAACAAACATATGTTCCTGGAACGCACACATGCGTACACCTGGAACACTATGTGTGTATGTCTGGAAGGCACATGTCTGTTCACCTGCAACACACATTTGTGTTCACCTGGAACCCACACATGTGCTCACTTGGAACAAGCATTTGTGTTCACGCGCAACACTGGCGCAGACCTGAGTCACACAAACATGTTGAACCAGAACAAACTTCTGCGCTGACTTGTAGCACACATATGTGTACACGTGGAACAGACGTAAGTGCACATGTGGGGAAACATGTGCAACACAATTGTGCAGCACGCGTGCGGTCACCTGGACAACAAACATGTGTTCACATGGAGTTGACATTCTCTGCACGCCTGTGCGACACATAAATCAAGTTCCCGAAGCCGGCTGCGAGGCGCTATTCCATGGAGCTCTGCATTGAACAACGCTTGTTTTTTATATGCGTGTTCCAAGTAGGAAAATAGCGACAAATAAACAAAGAGCGCCGTGCCAGGCATCCAGGCTGGGAGACAACGGGAGACAAATGAAGGGAGACAAAGGGAGACAGATGAACCCGTTCACCCAGAGAGCCGTGCCAGGCATCCAGGCTGGGAGACAACGGGGGACAAAGGGAGACAAAGGGAGACAAATGAACCCGTCCACCTAGAGAGCCGTGCCAGGCATCCAGGCTGGGAGACAACGGGAGACAAATGAAGGGAGACAAAGGGAGACAAATGAACTCGTCCACCCAGAGAGCCGTGCCAGGCATCCAGGCTGGGAGACAACGGGGGACAAAGGGAGACAAAGGGAGACAAATGAACCCGTCCACCTAGAGAGCCGTGCCAGGCATCCAGGCTGGGAGACAACGGGAGACAAATGAAGGGAGACAAAGGGAGACAAATGAACCCGTCCACCTAGAGAGCCGTGCCAGGCATCCAGGCTGGGAGACAACGGGAGACAAATGAAGGGAGACAAAGGGGACAAAGGGAGACAAATGAACTCGTCCACCCAGAGAGCCGTGCCAGGCATCCAGGCTATGGCTTGGCAATAGGCGAGTCGCTTTAAATGAATTTAGAACCCCTCACAGTAAATTGTTTGGGGAAAACCCACCCGTGCACGCAGAGCACGCGGCGTCAATGGGATTCATTTGGGGACGTCCTTTTGTGATTTGAGGAAGCCAACCACGTGGCCCATGCTGACTGCGTTTCCGTGCTGACCCTTGTCATCCGTTGCGTGCTGGAGAAGGAAGAGGCAAAGTCGCAACGCTTTGGGGCGCGAATCAAATGGCGGAGGCTTTGTGCAGTCTTCGGTTGCATTGGTTTGTTGGCGGACCTAAATCGAAGCATGCGGCACAACTATAGCCACACCGCCTGGGATGACTTGAACAGTTTGCTTGCTTCGTGGATTGGCTCCGATGCACTCATCGCTCATGATTCCAACTCGGTGCTGGACCCTTTGGTGAATCAGTACGCCTCAGCCCGAGCAGTGCGGCAGGTCTGTAGCATGGTAGGTGCTTCGTGCTTTACCCTAGCCATGCTGTCTGACATGCTGGGTTCGAGTTTGGCCATGCGACGGCCCATTCCTGCAATCAAGTTTCTGGCTTGGTCAAGGAGGCTTGGGTTGCTGGGAAGCTGTGGATGTGAATAGCAAGATTGCTCTTGATTTCCGCTTGGTTCGGATGGTTCTGGGAATCACACGATATGTGTATAAATACCTCTATGGCACGAGTTTTGTTTTGCTTTTTTCAGGGGGGGGGGGAGGAACCATTTGTTGGCCATCTACCAGGTACATTGTTTTCAAGCAAACACCAGCATTTAGACTCACAGCAACACGTTGTGTCCATCACTGAGGAAGTCTCTTCTACGCTGGCGGATTGCTGGTGTTCAATCTGCCAGACTATGTGGGCCTGCTAGATTTTGGATCGCTCAAGCGGTGCGGCAGTGGGTTTTGTGACGCTGGGTAACTTTAAGCAGCATGCTACGGCTGTCCCCCTTGGCAGGGACGGCTGCCTTCATCGCTTGTCCCAAGACAGCGGTCATTGGTTGGTTCATAGCATTCTTGCTTCTGCCAGCATTGCTCCTGGGCGTCATTGTGAAATTCAGGTTGACTCAGCTGGGGTGGTATTTCCTTTGGGGCTGGGTCTTCTACCTAGTGCCACTGTTGGTCATGGCTTCATATGCCTGGGTATGGACTTCCTTACCTTGATCCACAAGTTCTTTGAGTACTTGATTGGCCGAGCTTCTTTTCTGTCTGACGTGGTCATCTCAGACCTGTTCTTCACCATGGTCTTTACTGAGAGGCCATAAATCCACATCGGTCAACGCTGATCAGATCGGTGAACGCTGATGTCTTATGACGCTTCAACATGAGGATGGTTTCTTGCCAGGCATGAGCTGACCTAATTTGATGCAACTCCTGAGGTCCTGCATGCCAGCGAGTGATTTGGCTGTATGCTTCAAAGGGTTCCACAAATGGTTGGCCAATTTGATGACAAGCGGTGCGATTCTGCTGAGCCCGACAGCTGGCCGTGCGCCCAACCGCGGTGGCCGCTGGTCCAGTGGACACAACCGCGAGTCGCGGGGGAAAACAGGAAGCCGTTGGCCCGAGGCCAGCTATTTCTGCCGCAAGGTAAAAGCCTGCACCCAACATCCGAGTAATGTCAGGTAAGCAAAAGGTGCCACCAGAATTACCTCCGGACTCGGAAACTCAGAGGAGGCTGAACACCAATTGACTGCGCATTGACATGGTGCGCCGGCGAAGCATCATGAATCATGATGACAGCTCCATGTCAAAATGAGCACAGGTGGCGAAGGCAATGTGATTAGAAAGCGCACATGCGTGCTTCCGCCAAGCACCGAAACCGGCCAAAACAAATCGCCACTTGCAAACCGTGTACTAGATCTGTGCTACCTGCATCAACACCTGCGCCGGCACCTGCTGCATGTGACACCCCGCGCCAGTGCTGCACCCTGCGCCAGTGCCTCTTACTGGCACCCGGAAATCGCCTACCACATGCACAAACTATATCCCATCAGCGCCATCGTCCGAACACACCTTGCCAGCAGCTTCTGCCCTACACCAGCTGCAGAATAGCACCCAAAACTACCCGCTCCCAGAAATCACCCCACCAGGACCTTGACAGGTATTGTCAAATTTCTCACTCCCTTCGTTTGTTTCTGCACCAGCGATATGATCGGAGCAAGCTGCCCGAAGCGTCCGTTTCCAAGAGACGCAGCTTGAGTGCACGAGGCGAGGAATTCCTGGACGATCTCAAGTGCGAGTGCTGAGCTTGGAATGCACATGACGGATCCCAAGTGCAAAATAATTTGGGGGCTGGTCCGCATCCAGAAACTAATTCAAACAAATATTTGAACGGGGTGGTACCTGGTGGTACTAATTTGGGTTGATCTCTTTCTTCCAAGGCCTACTAGGGGTCATGTTTTTGAGCTGCGGCGTGTGGTCGCTTTCCTTCACCTTCTGAAGTTCAGAGTGTGACAAGCGCCTAAGACCAATTGACAGCAGCGACGCTGTGGGCCACAGTAAACCGTTGGTTCATTCCGCGTGTGTCAGGAGATTCTGGAGTGGTCTTCATGCATACAGACTTAGTGCAGCTCCCAGCCCATGAAGCCGTGGGGACGCCCGTTTTCGCATTGCTCACTTTGTAGCAAGCCTAGGCAAACTGTCCTTGGAGATGGTGGTCAAGGAGATGCACTCGTGCCCCGGAATGTGGATGTGCAACTTGTTTTTTGGCTTGCCGATGCTTAAGGCGCTATGGAAATGCGCCGAACCTGACATTCCACACCTTCAACCCTGGGGTTGCGGGACTCTCAGAACGCGCTTTGCACGATATGACACGCGCCGCCCGCCTAGGCCAACACACAGCTGATGCGCCAGGGGACGGCCTTCGGGGTCGGAAGCTTGTGTCCAAGTTGCGGCCATGAAGCATCAGCACACTGAGTCCGGGAAGAAGCGTAACCGGGCTGAGCGGGGCTGGCCTATGGACATCCCCAGCCCAGCCCCGAGTTTAGCTGAAGGGAGTTGGATGCCATTGTGCTCATTCAGCGACGCTGCGTGAAGAAGCTGCCATGTGAAGCCGTTCTTTCTGCAGCATGTCACGCCCTTTAGCCCTTAGATTGTCGTGCCGGCCAGTATTTGTAGCTGCGTTCAACTTAGAGTTTTTGCAGCCTTGCCAAGGCTACTTGCCCGTTCCCAGAAAGCAGAAGGCCTCATTCTTTGCCATGGTTGATGACGCCTTCCAGCATCAGAGCCACGGCCTAGAAGATCCGCCAACATAGCTGACAGAAGCCAAGCGTCCGAGGCGGAACGTTCGTGAGTGACGGAATCGAGAAGCTCAAGGCATGGCCTGCAAATGCGCCAAGTGCAGTTCTGTCCGCGCCAGGCTATCTATGATGCGCCCGCGCGGGCAAAGCTCTGGGAGGACTGCCTAGCTGAAGCGAAGGGTCCAGGCTCGCTGGACGCCGAGTGCCAGGAGTTTGTGGAGTTCACGGGGGCCGAGTGGCCCAAGGTGAAAAATGAGGTGCGGGAAGTGATGAACGCGTAGTGCCGGATGCTAAAACAGGTGTGCGCTGTACTCAGCTCCTCTTAGGACACGGTCAACTCACAACTCAAGCACCGTGCGTACATTGAAATTGTTTCAGGTCGATGTGGTGAATCAAGCTGCATCGCCGTTGCTCTAGTGCCGAATCGGCGCGGCTAGGGAAGCAGAAAGGATGACTAAATACAGGTGAACCGCTAGGCTGCATAAAACAGTCTTAGCCAGTTGCTTCCAATGATACTCCACAGTTGAAGGGAAACATGTTGCCATGCCAAGTACTTATCCGAGCTATAGTTCAGGCCCAGCTTTCAAGCTACCGTTCCAGACACACATAGACACCATACAACTGAGCTGTACCTCTTCAGCTCAGCACAGTGCTCAGCTTCAATCGACACTTGGCACTATGTCGGGCTATGCGCAGCCTCGTGCTATGCCGCTGGGACTCCCGCTGCCAATCGTCCAGGACAAGGGTTCCAGTCTCTGTGTCCCGCTACAGACCGGCCCAGCCCTGGCGCCAGGATCATCGAATGCCGGAGGCAACTGAACGCAACCAGGCTCCTGATGGAATTGCGAATGAGTTGAGCCCACAGGCTCCTGCTCTTCCAGAAGCTTCCCCACTTGGTGGTCTAACCTGTCCTCTCGGGCCCAATTCGTTGGGCACTCGCACACACCACCACAGCGCCATGGCTGCGCCATAGCTGCGGAGCACAAAGTGCTTAGGTCACCGACCTTGACAACACCACAGTGTGCCAATGCCAACAACTCCTCTCCAGGCCGCCCGCGGCCGTGCCGAGGGCCGTGCGTTGGTGTCGTTCTCGCTGTATTTTGCCGGAGGCTTCGGCGCAGAGACGCCCTTCTCCGCTGCCTCCAACAAGTTTGGTGGTCTCAGCCTGCGGCCTCAGGAAGCCGACAGCTTTTGTTTCGAGTTTCGAGTGGCAAGCCTAGGTGACATGAACGATTGGGCATGGGAGATGGGTAGCCAGTGCAGCCCGGCCCCTACTGGACAGAGAGGTTCAAGAAGTCTATGGTCCATGTCGGAAGGACCTGGGGGACACTTAATTTCTCACGAATCCACAGGACTCGCTGATGTTCCAATGTCCTTTCGAGGAAACAATTATGGTTGATCGTGGCTGGAGCAAAAAACGACGGACGGCGCGCAGGGGTGTTTGCTTGCGGCAGCCACTTCTTTGGTCAGTGCTGCTGTGGACGACGTTAAGCTGCTTACCTTCTTAGGGAAAAACAAGTTCCTCCAAAAACAAAAAACGGTTTTGACGCTTTTGAAAAAGCGTGAAACAAGAAAAAGCGAGCAGCTTAGCTAACGCAACAACTCTTGCTTTCCGCCGACTGTTGCTGCTCGCAAGAGTTTTGTGTTTTGCCTGCCAAGCGGGAAGATGTAGACGTTGCCATACGCTGCGAGAAACGGTTTGATTGAAGAGTGATGGTTGAGTTGATTGTTGCGCTGCCGCAGAACTTGTTCCAACACCAGTTGTTTGGGACTGTCCTGGATTCTACAATCTGGTGCTCACAAATGCGGAGGTGTGCCCTCTGCGTGGTCAAAGCCAAGCACAGTTCACAGCAGTGTGAGCAAGCTGAGCAGCGCACGGAGCCGAGATCCTGTTTCACCAGCTCAGCCTCAGCGATGGCTTGGATTTTGAGTTGTCCTTTGAGGCCACTGGTGAGGGGTTGATCCCGGGGCTTGTTGATGGACAGCGGCTTTCGTCTGTGAAGCCTTGTGCAGTCCGTGTCCCAGGACGTCTTTCGCACATAGAAATTCCAAGCTGCCAAGCGTCATGCAACACGCGTTTGAATCATTCAAAACACACACACACAACCACACACACACATGCACACACACACACACACACAAAACCCCGCACTTCACACAGCACAAGCACACACACACACACCTACTAGTCGAAAGGCTTGCCAGTTGGCACACAGTGTTTGGCACCGCTGCAGGTCCCCACCGTAGGAGGCAAAGTCGTGGTTAGTCTGCGCAAGGAGGCACGCACAGGATTCCATTTCTCTCCTTGAGCTGAACGGTTACGGCTCTAGGTACCCCAGGGCTTCTGGGATAGCTGCGGGCTTACCTCGTGTCGATGTGGTGAGACCCTGGCATGTGAAGCTGGTTCGTAGATACCTCTCAGGATTGGGCATTTTCCTCGTCAATGGTCCGGTGCAGAAGAAACTAACGTTGCAGACTCAGCTCAGTCCTTGCTTGCCGATATCCTGGGGTCAACCACGCAGCAATAGGCCGCATTTGTCAGGAACTTGGTTCTGTTAGGGTTTCCTATGGGCTTTCCCGCGGGATTTCCAATGCGATCTGATGATTTCTCAACATTTCAAAGATTGCCGGAGTTTTTTTATTCTTCTGTGGGTGTCCAGGAATTCGGCATTTCCTGGGCCTGGGTCTCATGTTTTCTTTCATTCCAACAAGTCGAGCCACTTTGGAGTTGCACAGTTCTTGTCCCGGACAGACCAAATCTAGAATGCAAGGTTCCGCACTCGCGCTGGAGGGTTCCTCACTTCCAGTAGTCTCATAGTTTCTTTCAAGTCTTGCAACTGTAGCATCAAAGTGAAAGCCAAGAGTTGGGGGAAGAGTTTCTTGCACGAGGCTCCGGTTTTCATGCTCTGGGCATGCTGAGGCCAACGGGTGTCAAGAAGGGCAAGAAGCTGTGCGTGGAGGTGCCTTCTGGCATGGAGCCGGGCGACTACGATGTGCGTCTGGCCTTCGGCGAGAAGATCATTCACGGTGCGCTAGTCAGTGAATGGACGATCCCAACCAGAGAGGCAGAAATTTGGGGGACCTGAGGTGCAATACCCTTGGCTATAAGAGATGGCGATGGGGAGGCCTGCTGCGCAACGAGTGGTGGGGAACTTCACTGAAGTTGACAGGATGACAACTTTGATGACTGATAGAGCCGGTGCCTAGACTTTCAGACCACTTTGAGAGTCTTGCACTGAGCTTGCGCGGGGGACTGCGTTGTGCCGGCACGAGACCGGATAGTGACTACGACTTACCTCAAGTTGTTAAGAGACAGAGTCAGATCACTGTATCTGCGTTCCTGTTCTGACACCGTGGTTTCCCGAATTCACGCCACGACATGCCACTACGTTTAAGCCTGCTGCAACCTGCAACCCGAATCAAGCCGACCTAAAGCACGCATGCTTTTGAAGGGCTGCGTTGCAGCAGTTTTTGTTGCATCCACGTCTCACCAAATGTAGAGTCAAAGCCAACCAACCTTCACCTGCACACTCTACTCGTTGATATTCTTGGAAACGGCTTATTGTGCTTTTGTCCAACTTGGACCAACTGTTGTCAATATTTTCTGGATTGCAATTGTCTCCTTGGGACGACCCTGGGAGTCAAGGTTGTATGCAAGCTGGGAGGCGTTTCAGAGTATGTGTGCCAGCTCTTAACAGTTACAGCCAAACACCCTTCGCTCGAGAGAGCTTGGGCGTGGGAATGAAGGAGCACCGATGCTGGACGGCAGAGGTAAAACGGGAGACACCGCGTATTGTTGCACGCTCTGGCCCGGCGTATTCGGCTTGAACATGGCTTGCACTCAGCGCTCGGCTACTTTCAGCTTTGCCTGGGTTGGGCTCAAGGCAGAGTCTTAGAGGGCCGCTCTTTCTTTTTCCTCTGGCATTCGGCGACTGTCCGTTGCCCCAGCGAGCCTTGTTCTGAGACCTTTGAGAAAGATCTGTTTCGGGCGGGGGCATGTCAACATGTCGTGTATCTTAAACGCCTGTTTCATTTTTTCTTTCCGAGGGACTTGGCGAGGTGGCCACCACAAGTTTAGATGGTATGAATTAATTGACAATGGATAATGGGGATGCTCCATTTGGTGCTTGTGAAAGCACGCCCCTCAGAGTCAGTGCAACTGGTCGATGCTCAGGCATTTGATGGATCGCACAGCGTCTGCAGAGTGGCACACTTAGACGAACCATGTGCACCAGCGGGAGACATTGGCATCTCAAATCTGACTGCGTTCATTTTCATTCAGCAGACACTTGAGTAGAATACCCGGAAGCTCCACATTGGCAATCATGAAGCCCTTTGCAGAGCCCGGACAAGCATGCGCTTATGCTTTGCACTTCTTAGCGATCTCAGCCTTGTCTGCTGCTTTGTGTTCTCCTTGCATCCTATTGTGCCCAATATCTCAGGTCAACGGGGAGCACGTCCAGTCCCTTTGCCGGCGGCACCATGGGCGTCAAGGCTAGAAAGAAACACTGCTTTGGCACTGAAGACAAAAGGACAATCATAAGATCCATAAATTCTGGCGGAAACCTAGTGGTGGGGAACCACAGAATTGGTCCCAGCTTCCTGCCAACGTTCTTTCGAGCATAAAAAGGAACATGTGTTAGCCGGAAGCAGATGAAAGTGAAGGGCTGACACAAGCATGATTCACAGCGCACACGGGCTTTGGCGTCTGGAGGCGCTGCTTTTGAAAGGCTGACACAAAACTCGTGAACACATAATAGCATGTAGCTGGGTAGAGGAAGGCAGCGCGAGTTCCGCGCCACGAAACTGCCGCAGCTGGTTGATACACCTCATGGTTGTTGTTTTCTGGGGTGGGTGTCCGCATTTAGTGGGATTCATCACTTTGGATACCTATGGAGAATCATTTCTCATGAGGGTAGATGCGAAAGTGTTCTGCAGTTTCCCTGGTTATGCTATGATCCAAGAGGATCAAATGTAGCCCCGGATGGACCGGACGCAGAGTTCGAAACGATGCTTTGCACAACATGTTCCAGACCTTGTCTGCAGGTAGTTGCCAGCACATGGTCCCGTGACTCTCACGACCTTTTTGACTTCGAAGCTAGCCAGCTGCAGACGTGCGGTCCTTGTGCCTTCGCATCGGGTAGGCTTCACTGTGCCTTGCGCAGGAAGACTTTCACTGTCCCCAATTCGGCCAAGTTTATTCGCTCTGGTACAGACGTGCCGCCCACAGTATCATGAGCTGCAAGACCTTTTTCCATGCAGTATTGCCCATCCAGTCGAAACCTTGGAAGAATGCGAGCTGTCTGTCAGGTCCAAATGCTTACTGACAACGAGAATCCACCACCAGGCCTTCTTTAGCCTCGTCCCAGAACACGCACCGCATCACGTGGCGAGGCGGCGAACCAATGCTTCGCCTGGTGCAGCGCGAGGGCTGCTACTGGGTGGACAAGGCGCGCCGGAGTTGTTTTCCGTTGGGCCGGTGTATGGCGTTTGGCGTTTGGTTGCTTGGTGCGCGCCTCGAGTGCGAGGGTGAGAAACCGGCAAGCGGGAGAAGGGGGGGGGCGAATTGGGGGTGCAGAGGCGACGCCTGCGAGTAGCTCCAAGAAGCTTTGGGTGGTCGTCCGCGACCTCGCCACCTCTGGGCATAAGAGCCACCCTTAGCCTTCCACTGGCTTAGGCCATGGTCTGTGATGAAAATTGGATTCGCGTGGTGGTTTGACCGAGGCTGTCTGAAGGTGATGTCATCAAGCTGCAGCCTTACCGCTATGAAATACACCTGGGCTGACACACATTGAGCGTGGATGTGTGAGTCACATACTCGCACTCAGGCTTGGACGCTTCAAGTTCAAGGTGCGCCAGATGGTAGCTTCTGAGACTGCCACGGACTGAGATGTTGCACATTTGCCAAGATCTCGCCATGAGATCATTGCAGTCTCTTCGCTCAGACTCATTGCTCGTATTTTGTACTCATCCATGCATGACGTCCACAGAGCTTTGCAGCAGCGCCAGCGTTTCTTACATCACTGCCTGCCAAGTCGACCCAGCAGCCAGAGCTGCATTTGGATGATACAGCAGGCTTCACATGTGACATAGAGCTGCGGCCTTAGATCGCATCGCTACATGTTTCGTGTTTTTTGTTTTGGACCGGCTTAAATGTTCGGGCTCAGGACTGACCATGAGACCCGCCTGGCCAAAACGCCGGAGAGCTCAGCGGAGACCCATGAGACATATTGATATGGCAGTGGGTCACAAAAATGCACCAAAATGGCACCTTGGCCATTGGAACCAAAGACTAGAACCTGCGCAAGCCCAAGTTTAATCTCGAGCCACACCCATATGCGACAGAAGCACACCTCGACTCGAGGTCATGCCGGATTTGCCTGTTGGAGGGCTCCTCTGACGACGACCCGTTGATCAGGCCCGGGCGTGAGACGAGCGCCATAAGCTGTCCAGCTGTGTCCAGGCCCTGCCAGTGCAAGGGCTCCATTGAGTACGTGCACCTGGGCTGCTTGCGCCACTGGGTGGGTCCCTCGGAGCCGTTCATCAAATAGGATTTCAAACACGGAACATGCAGTTCGCGGAGGCCGTCCTGCGTATTCATGTCTGTTCTGTGTTCCTTCGCAAAGGCCCCACGTTGGGACGAAGCAACAATTACCGCTTTTTGGACAATGAGAACTGTTCTTGCTTCTCTTGCACACTTTTTGCGTCTCGACTCATGACAGTGGTGTGACAGTTTTGTCCACGGCCCTGCGTAGGCACCGCATGGGCTTTGTGTAAGCATACACACAGGCTTCGAGGGTAGTTTGAATACCTCGGCCCTCTCCAACAGTTGCAGCAAACACACACATGCACTACCTGCTTGAGTCACAACCTGCGGCCTTGCGTAGTACGTCACAGTGCTGGTGCATCCGCATGCTGCAGTTGCCACTTTGGATTCCAGTGAATCTTTTTGCTGAATTCACGCAGCCAACAGGCACGCAAAACATTTGCTTGCGCGAGCGTCCGCGTCGCCTGCAAAGCTGCACGGGATTTCTTTGGAGCCCTCGGCGCCGTTGCGGAAGCCCCCACCATACCAAACAAGCCCAAATCCAAAATCAATGCCGAGTTTGCAAGCGCATCACAAGGTCAGAGGTCGCCTCAACATTGCCGACACTCCAGAAGGTTCATACTTCTACCGGCTCTCAGCTTAAACTCAAACAGCTCTGGAGTTCCTGACAAATGATTCAGCCATGAGCTCAGGCCACTGCCTTGTGAACTGTGCAAGGCCTGTGCATTCGGTAGCGAGGCGGTGGGGGGGCATGACTTCTGTCAGGCCGCCTATCCGGCGTCAGTGACAAACGGAATCTTGGCTGCCAGGAATTGAAGTGGATCATTCGTCCATTTGCTCGGCATCAGGTCAGCAGAAGATGCCTCTTGTGGAGGTCCCTAAGACGATGCCGCCGTACATTGTCAGCCGCCCAAAGTTGTTCTCTTGCCGAATTCTTGGGACATGATTACAGTAGCAAACACGGACAAGAACTTCTGCAGAGAAGGCGTGCACGCCGCGGACGGCTTTGGCTCGAGCTTGCCAGAGCCTGGCTTCCGCTTGCTGGCTTCCCATTGCCAGCATACCCTTGGCTGAATGGGAAGCGCGACGCTGAGAGATGAGTTTGGCCTGGAGGCAGCGGGCTTATGGCAAGCTGCTGTCCAGCGAGTGCCAGAAATGCAGGCAGCAACGGATTGCTCTCCCTGTGTAGATGCCATCAACGCGTACTACGAGGCCTTTGGATAGCTAGCCGCCCTTGTTTGCCCGTGCTTCGCATAGGCGGTCTTGGCATATCGACCTTTCCCTGCCTGGTCTGTGGCAGCCAACCAGGCGTGACCCTGAGGTGACTTGCCGTCAGAAGTCCAGAGAAGCCTTGGAAACGCTTCTGTCGGTTTGGGTAACACCGCTTTCAACGAATCCCGCTCGGGCAGGCCATAGAGGCAGATCCCAGATGTCCTATGGCTCGCGTCCTGGCGGCGGACTGCGCCTTTTGCCAGGGGGATGCAGCCAAGTCCAAGGAGCGCGAGCTTTCGAAAGCGCGCAGGGAATCGAATCGAATGCGCTCGCATGCCGATGCTGTGCTCGAGGAACTTTTGGAGCAGCTGGTGCAAGAAGCCAAGGATTTCGCGCGAGAAGTCACTGGTGGGCGTTTCTCAAAATTATGTATCCCTTCATGTAGTTGGTTTTTGTTTGGGTTCCCCCTGAAAACCATCCCAAAATGGGACCCCTATTTTGAGAAGCATCCTGGTGAGTTTCGCTGAGCCTGGCAGGATTCAGAGTGGTCTTGGCGTGAGAAGAAATATGTTGAGGCTGGAGACTGAAGACAAACACAGACCAATATTTTTTATTATTTTTATTTATTTATTTATTTTTAAATGTCTCAGGCCTGGAAATGCTGGGTATTGCTTGGTGACCCAGTTGGGTGCTACAAGAGCTTGGCAGAGGCGGGTGAGCTGACTGCTCATCTAATGTGTGAAGCAACTGCTCCCTCAGGTTGTGGCAAAGAATCCCAGCGACCTATTCGCCGCAACCCATCGTCAATTGTTTAGCCGAATTCAGAAGTGACTCATGAATGCAGTGCTTGGAATACCCAGGTAAAGCGTGGACACATCATGGGCCTCATACTTGGTGATGGGCAGAAGATGCTTGATATTGTCGAGATGCTAGGCCCAAATTATTTCAATTAGAGGCACCGGGTAGCTTTGACTTTGAGATTATGCCGTATTCTGCCTTCCGCACTGGCAAGGATATCAGCAAAAGAGTATGCCAGTCGGCACAATAGCCTTATATTTGCACTGCATATGAGCCACAACCAAAACCCGGGTAGATGAAGACTAAGGGACAACCGCCTTCTTAATTCTGTACATGGTTCTGGGTAGACCATTCTAGCAACGGGTTTTGATTATGACTCATGGCGCACCTACGATCCCTTGTCCCAGGCAAAGGCGGATCCACCCCCGCGATACTTACATGGTATGTGGGCGTTCGGCCTCGAGCAGCAAGGCTGCTACCAGGAAAGGCTTGAGTGCGGTCTTTTTGCGGGTACCCTTTTTTGGTTGAACCGGTTAAAAAGGAAACCAAAGGGAAGACTCCCCATGTTTTTGGGTTCCCTATTTTTGAGACCCCCCCCCTTTCAGACGGAGAGACACGCAGGGGCGAATCATTTCAGCCCTGCGAAGGACGCGGAGCGAGTTGCCAAGGAGGGCTTGGCGTTTGAGCGCAGCTTGGGGCCAGATGCGTGGCTGGACCATGGCCTGGCTCACGCGCTGTACTTCCAAGGTGGGACTCGGATCGCGGTGACTCGGGGCAAGCCGCTGGTTGGTTTTTTGAGGCGTTCACGTTGCTTCGTTTTCTTCGCTGGATACTCGGCAGGTGAGAAAAGACTAGAGGAGGCAGAGAAGTTTTTGAAGCAGCGAAGCGGTACCTGGTTGAAGGAGGCAGGATTTCTTGGGATTTGCGATCGATTTCCCTGTTGTTTGGCATCCAGGTGACGGGCTTGAAGCATAATATGAGTGGTGCTTCTCAATACAAAGCACGTCATAGTTTGATGGAATACGGAGATGACATGCTTCCTTGATGGACGTCATTGTCAATGTCATGCAGACGGCAGCATTCGTTGATAGGCGCTTCACCCATTTTTGTACACTCACTGCTGGTGGCATTTGGCACTGCTGCACCTTGGCTTGAGTGGTTGCCTCTCCGTGACTATACGCACATGTGCACCCCAGCCTGGGGGCCGCTGTGCTCTTAAATGATGCGCACCGGATTCAGTCGCACGAGGCACTGCGAGCGCAGAAACTTTGAAGCCAGCCTAGCAATCTTCGATGAGACCTGGCTGGAGAATACTTGCTGGTTCTCAGTAAGGAATGAGTCAGGGTTTAGAGAATCAAGCCAGGGGTGTCCTTAAAAGGAAATCACCAGTTGGATGCTCATTCCCTGCCAATCGAACCAGCAAGAAGACTCATCAATGTTTTCGATGTTGACATGTCCAGCTGAGGAGAGGCTATGGCCTGAAGGGCCTGCTGGCCTTGAGCAAGGTGCAGAGCCACAGGCGCGAAATGGTTGATGAAGGTAGCATCTCCAAAACCAATTCCAATTGAAGCGGGTCTGGTCTATAGAGCCCACTTCCCATGGACGCAATTGGCGTAGGTGCAGCTGAATGCGCTGAATTTGCTTCTTGGCTCCCGGCAGTGAGACAGAAAGGGAGGGAGGACAGAACTTGCTTGCTGCCAGCCAGAACCAAGCTGCAGCAGCCAGGGAACTTGAGAGCTACCCTCCTGCAGATTCACATACGACCTGAAAACTGCTATGTTTTCAGAAATCTCCCGTTGGGGGACCCACTTTTGGGTTCCAGGTTGATTTGCAGGGGAGTGGTTTGTTCAATGCACCTCAGTCTAATTTCACACCGAACAAAATGTTCCTCGAACATGGGCCAGGTCCCACGGAGCTCAAATTGGCACCAATCCATCGTCAGCCAAAAAGGTATGTTGTTCTTGTCGAAAGAGACGGCACCCTGAGCCTCTAAGAGGTAGGTGAACGCCGAGGTTCCCAGTACAAGCTTCGGACGAGCTCCGCCAGCAAAAATGGCAGCGGGAGCTCCCTAAAGCCTAAAGCTCTACACTGCAAGGCGCAGTCGTACAGCAAGCGGGGGCGAACCCGCGCACGGCTCAGACTCACTCCGTGCCACAGCGACGGGGGCCAGGTGGCCGTTGCGGCCTGGGTCGCCTCTTTGGAGGGCTCCGGCACCATCACCGCCCGGTTGTGGCCATTCGCAGGAGAGCTGAGGGCGCAGATGCCACAGACACCCGGCGCCCAGGCTGCTGCAACTCAGGTGAAAAGAAGACCCCCTGCTCCGTGAGGGAGACATCAGGGGGAGGCTCCTCCAGTTCCGCCATGCGTCCGCAGTCAACTTGGCAGACGGCGAATCCACGCATATTGGGGTAGGGACCCCAATCGAAAGTTGCAGTGGTTCGCTCAGCAGTACTCCCGAATCCCAACCAACCGCATCCACCGCCGCCTCGCCACCACAACTACAGCAAGAAATCGCTCGAGCCACAACTTCAGTCGGCTCCATGTTTGGTTCCTCCACTTCTTTGCCAAGCTTCCCAAACAAAATGGAGCCAGGGATCTCTTCGCTTGCCCAGCTCGGTAGTCGGAGCTACAAAACATGCTTGCATGAGAAAGCGCAGCAAGTCAGCAGCAGAATACCCGGAACCGGCTTGGGCGATGAGTTTCGAGTTTCGACGAGGCCGTCAAGTCTTAAGACGCCTATGCTTCGAGCTTGACACCTGGGGAACATCGTCTCGCTGAGTGCAAGGAATGCATTCCTCAAGGGCTGGTGGCCCACCAGAAGGGATTCCTTCGTCAACGAGCGGCCACGTCACTAAAAACGCTGCTCCCGAAAACGATGAAGGGAAGCAAATGCACGAGACATGCTACAATGAACATCCACACGTTTGTGGAAGCACGCAAAAGTGATTTGGGAATTTGCCTGTTCACCAAAAGCAGCGCCAGAAGACTCATCGCATGCAACAGTGGATGCTCAGAGGATGGGGGGAAGCAGTGGCAACTAACGGCTAGCACAGCCGACACAGTTGGCGTTTCTTTTTGTCGAATGTTCAAGTGTGACACTGGAGTGCCAGCTGAGGCTGTGGCGACTAGAGTCTCGAGAGCAGGCGCTGGAAACTCGCTTCGCAAGGCATTTTTGGTAGAGTTGTGGCTATGAGACTGCCCAAAGAAGTATCATCTGACATGCTCGAGGCGTCGGCATTGCCCAGATGGGCAAGAGTCCTTGAGGGCTGCCGTGGGCTTTCATTGCCAAAAGACGGCTCAAGAGGAGATGGCTGCGGTCAAATTGCAAGCGGGTGTTTGCTTCGCAGAGAATTCGGCAAGCAGGATCTTTGCAGCACAACGACCTGCTTTTGGACATTCTTTTGATCCGCGCGCTTTGCGCGGTGGCGAAGGAGGAGAATCGGCAGAGTCACCATGTGACGAGTGCTGAAAGTATCCAACGTGTTGTGCGGAGGACTCCCAGTCGCTCCAGGAATTCTTGTCTGCCACACAGACCCATGCAGAGGACTGTCCCGCATGGCATCTGACATTTTGCGGCTCCTTCCCCAACGTTGCCCGAAGGAGATGGCAAAAGCAGCTGCAGGTGCTGATGGACGAGCTGAAGCCTATGGCAGCCTTGCTCGCCTAGTGGCGGATATTTTCAGTCATTTTCTCAGAGTGGGGCTGCACGCGCAGTCAGTTCTCACCAGACATATGGCTGTGAATGTAAATGGGGAAACCACCTCACAAGTGGTTGGTGGACAGAACTCCCCACCTTAATGATGCCCACCAAAGCGCCCCCGATTAAAATTCACCCCCATGTGGCACTGCATGACGATGGTGCACGCACCAAGGGGCGGATCTTCCCTGCACAGAGATGTTGGATCGACGCGCCAAGGCACGCATGAGTCTCTGTTTGTGTAAGTCTTTGACTACCCTGGGTAGCAGGACACTGGACTGTGAGTCTGTGTTCAAACAGGGGTTTGCGCCACGCAACCAGCACCAAGCAGCTATGCCTTCAAACAAATTAGCAAAAGGGAGAGGACAGGCATCAGCAACTTTCTTTTTGAGCACTTCAAAACCATGAAAGACTAGTATTGACTTCAGTACTGACACAAAACTGAAGGCGGGAAACTACAGATGGTGCACGTGGAGTTTTCCCCGAAGCCACACTCCATCCCAAAGGCATAGCTCAACACAGAGACGAGCCAAATCTGCCCAAGCCAACTGAGCAGAGATTCAGCAACTCGCCTCCACCATCGCCAACCTCAATTATTTACGGATCCACCTCATGGTTCGGAATGTCGATTCCTTTTTAGCATTCCTGAGCGGTGTTGCGCAGGTCTTTGGGTTCGCATCCGGGAGAGGGGCTTGAAGAACAGGAGGAACAAACAATATTGGTGTATGATTGCAACGACTGCAAAGCAAGCACTAGCAAGGCTTTTGGCTCTCTATAGCGGCATTACATTCAGGAGTTGTCAAGCGACTGGAGCGACCAACACGAGAAACGAAAGAGACAACAGTCTTTGCAGTCCCAACACTCAAACAAATTGGGCCTTACCGTATCACGACTCTTCTGAAAGGATACCGTTTCCACAGCTTCCTTGTTGTCGCTTCCCAAACCGTTGGCTCTGGGCATGGCGAGACACTGCAAAACGAGGGCTGTACGGGAAGCCTCAGAAATTCCAGATTGAGTCGGGAACTGGGCAGGAACGAGAAAAGAATCAGTGGTCCGATCCTGCCTCGGGCAAGCATCAACCGCGCACAAAGTGGGATGACACGGCCATGAAATGATACAGGCAACTTGGCATTTCCCGAAATATTGATGTTCTCTGTGGATGTTCCGCTGATTTGTTGACCAAGATAGGCCCGGCTGGATTCTATCATCTCTTCTCGAAACCGGTAACCTAGCTCCGCTGGCCCACGTTGACCTGTCGCATGAGTCCCCGAGTCTTCACCCGGCTTTTTATGCAAAGGGGTACAAGGCCATGCCACGCCTAAGTCCATGGCTAGCAAACCACCGAGACTCTGTTTCTTGCATACGGAGCATGGCAGGCTCGAGAAGAAGTTTGGGCATTGAGACCGCGGTGGGGTTGCCTTGGAGGAAGCGAGGAGCAGCGGGGAATCCTGATTGAGGCGCGACAGGAGAGGTGTCCCGCAGCTTGCTCGAGGGAGCTCGGAGATTGACATAGGGCTGACATTCTTTTGGAGAGAGACACAGGCTCTTGAAATCTCATACACGTGCCTGCGAAGGCAGTGAAAGGCCCAGTGGTCTGTGGTGACCCGAAGCCGTGACTAGCCTGCTTGCCAGAAGTTGGCAAGACGGCGTTGTTACATATTCACAGGCCGGCAAGACGGCGTTGTTGATTTGATCGTGGCACAAGTCCACATTCGAGTGCACATGTGTTAGGCGTGAGAATTGCAGTGCGGTGATGGATTTCGATTTGCAGAAAGCCATTTGTGGATTGCTGCTCATTTTGCCTCACGAGGCCTTGCATTCTGCCCAGGTACTCGAGAACATGATGCGTGACGCGCAACAGTTCGCTGCTCAGTGGCTGGAGTGCTTTTGATAGATGCGGTCTGTCGGGTCTGTCAGGCACAGCAGCCGTGGACTACATGTCGTGCGTGGCTCAATCTGCGGCGATAGATCTTGCCATGCAGAAACCGCGACTCGCAAGCTGAAGCTGAGGTTTCCCTCGCAGAAAACAAGCTGCTGAAGCTGGGCAGAGGCGGAGATGCGTAGCAATGAACGACTCAGCCTTGAGCTGCAGGCCATGAAAGCGATGTGCGCATCGCCGACGTGCTTGGCACCTAGCGCTTCCCACAACTCGAGGTGTTGATATCGGGCTGAGCTGCTCTTGAGGTCCATCTCCCGTTGTCACGCCACAATTCGCTATCAGAAAGGAGCCGAAGTGCAGAGCATGCCATTGCAGCCTGAAAGACTGAAAGACTGAAAGACTGAAAGACTGAAAGACTGAAAGACTGAAAGCGAGGACCTTGAAACGCGCCAATGCGCCAGGAAGTTTCGTCCTTGAGGATCATCGCTCCAAATTCGGTCAGAAACCCAGTCGCTGATCTAGAGCTGTTGACATGGATCATCTCATGCCCCGATCCAGGTACATTGGTTGCCATGAAGAAACCACGGCCCCTGGATCATGGCAGCGCGATTTCAATTCAAGTTGGGCATTTGCCTCAATTCAAATGCATGGATGGGGCATGCAGAGTGCATAGATTCTTCGAGGCGCACCGTGTTGTCCCTCTCCCTACAGTCGGAACCTGCTGGGCCTGTGCTACGCTCAGCGGAAGTTAGCCACTCGATCGTTTGGCCTCGGAGATCCAAACAAGAGCTAAACCCCGCTAGCTCCCTTCACAAAAGGAGAAGCCCGAACCTCTGCCTCCTATTTTTCCGTTTGCCACCCTTTGCTGCGCATCAAAGCCTTGAGTGAGTGCAAAAAGTAAGGGCAGTTTGCTTCAGCCGGGACATGGATAAAGTGGGTACCCATGAGGATGCTAGACAGTAAGTTGCACACTGCCAGGAGCTACAGGGGGTTTTGCTTGCACCTCTCTGCTCTTTGAGCAGCGTTGCTTATGTGCCACGCAGCACGCCAGCAAACCTTCAACAGATGTTCGAGAAGAAGGAGTCACTACCAATTGTGTACACCTGCTATCTCACACATACACATATCTACAAAATTGGGTGAACGTCTCGAGTAGTCAACGGTTGATTTGGGAGGGATGAGACTCTAAATTTCCCACGTCAGCCTTCCTGCAATAGGTCTAGGAAATCAACGTCCATGCATCATCTTTGGAGTGGCCATCAGTCACTATATATTTGGATGTCCGGGACCGGCATTCGTCGGTATTCGCGTGCTTTTTCAATGCAAAAGCGTTGTGATGACCTTGACTGACATGGACTTCCCCCGTCAAGCCGACCCCGCCAATGCATAGTGGCAAAGCAGCAGATCACCTTGCGCTTGCGTTCCATTAGCAGTATATTTTGCTTAGAAGCTCTTGCAGCTGGCGTCTGAGGTCAACAGTCCGGCGACCACTGAAGGGGAGATCCCAATGCATCTCTCCTAGCATGTTGATCGCCAGTTGCGTGCGCACGTCAGATTTAGCGTCGAGCTTCTGCCTTGACGCTTGGAGGCAGGCTTGCGATTGATGTGCAGACCAGGCAACAACTCTAGATCCTGTTCAGACGGCCAGCTCACGGTCCAAAATGCTGCTTGGCTCTTAACTCACTGCACCAGAGCCAATCAGAAGCGAACTGCCCGAGCAACTGTACACGATTGAGGTCTGAGCTGGTGCAATGGCCAGCATTTCATTCCATCTTAGAACGCCTTTCTCTTAGTTCGCATGCCGGTACAGCATGAGCATGCACGCTGGTGTAGAATACAGTACATGAAAGTTGCATGTAGGCGCAGGGCGCATTTGCATGCTGGAAGTGTGCTGCATGGTGCTGAGGTGTCAAACACGCTTGACACCGGCATGCTGAGAAGCAAGTATGGCAATGCCATGTGCAATCTGTGAGAAGTGAATATCAATACTGGCCCCCTTCCAGACAACACACACACACACACCCTCACGCACACATTCAGAAAAGCAGAAGAACACATCCGCAGACATAGCGTAATGTTTTTGAACCGGGTGTTCACAGCCATCGGCGGCATGGCTGGGGTGACTGCCACCAGTGAGACGATGACAAGCTTTCGGGCATTCTGTACAGTCACTCAATGATTTGTGTGAAAGTTTCAGAAAGATCGGACCCTTCAATTTGCCGCAAAGCTGCTTTTCAAAATGGGGAGTGACCGCAAAGTCTCCGCACCACAGCCCTCACGCCGTACTCAAGTCTCAAGACAACCTGAAGAGGTTATTACGCTTGCTATGCCAGCCGCTGACGCTCTGTGTTTTTCGGCAGCTTGTCAACTGGCCCTGAGTGCCGCACAAAGCCAAGGATCTGGGATTGGCAACCTGTTTAGTACCTTGTTGTTCTTGATTATTTTCGGGTGTTGTGTTATGGTTGGTTAGAAAGCCACCACAATTGTATACGCTTCGCGCTGCCCGCCTCGGCCAGAATGCTTTTGGCTGGCTTTGAGGTACTGTGTTTTGGTTTGCCTTGAAGTGTTTTGTTTGTTTGAGTGAGTGAGTCGGCACCGAAATGCGCACGCTGGTTTTCAAGGTAGAGGGTGGGTGCATTTTCGCGCGTTTGCATGGCTTCAAGGGCTAGATAGAACGAGAGCCGCAGTCAGAGAGCCACAGAGGACTGGGGCCCAGCGAAGCCTGCAAAAAATGTAAGGATTGTGACCAGTCTAGGCGGAATTTGACCGGTTTTTAGGGACCGGGTATCGAGGGGAATGTGACTGGCTTCTAGCAAGTTGGGCCGGTTTCAGAGGGGACTTGAATGGTTTTTAGAGGGGAACTTGACCGGTTTCTAGGGGGGATTTGACCGGTTTCTCCTGTTTTCAGCGGGGGATTTGATTGTTTTTGATCGGTTCTTGAGGGCTTAAGGCAGCTGGAGCGTGGGTCGCGCGACATGGGTTTCGGGGGTGGGGAAGATCCCTAGAGCCGAGGCGAACTAGTCCACGCGCAACAACACTCCGAGAATTGCGCAGAGGCGACGTGTTTTGCGTGATGCTGGTGCCCCGCATTCCTTGGATATGACAACGTGGTTTTGCGCCCGGCACATGTCTCCGGGATATTGTAACACGTTTTTCCAGAAAACCCAGCAAAGGGCTTTTCCAGTAAAACCGCCTGAGAGCCTGCCCAGAGGCATTGCCCAGAAATGCCGCAGAGAGATTGCGCAAAGGATTGTCGCAACTAAAAAATGCAGAGAGATTTCGCAGACAGAGTGCACGGAGCAATGTCATCGACAGACTGCGCAGAGAGAGTGCGTGGAGGAATGTCATCGACAGAATGCGCAGAGATATTGCGACGCTGAGATGGCCAACAGGAATGTCAGGGAGATGTTGCTCAGAGAGAACACACACACACACATGCTCAGAGAGAATGCCGAGAAAAAATGCTCAGAGAGATGTAATCTGACAAAATGCAGCTTTTCTTTTGCAGCCTCGCAAGTTGTCGGGACCTTGGAAAATGGCATTGAGAGCCTGCGGCTTCGACAAGGATTCCAGACAGAACACACCCATTCGAGAAGCATACTCGACCATCGCTCGAGAGTTGGCGGATTTCATAGCATGCGTCATAACGCAATGATTGGAATTGCAAATTTCTTCGCGAAGGGCGTGGTGCGCGAGTTGCAGTCAGGGCTCAAAGCCCGTACAGACCGAAGCTGCTTCGTGACAGCCGATCAGGATGTAGTCCCGAAGCGAAGTTCCGTCTCATGCCGCAGCCAGCAAGGACACCTCTTGCAACTGGTTCGAGAACTCACATCCGTGTGCTGACTTTCAAGGCATGGGATAGCTTTACACAAGCAATTGTGACTGAATATTGACAAGACACGAAGATGTACGCAAAAGCAAATTGCTTTTTGTGTGGAGCTGATTCCTCCTATTGGCTGCCTCACCGATATGCTGATATGCATCTGACTGAGAGCGCTTCTTTTTTGCTTTGTCACAGCGGATGGTGCTTTCACTTGTCGGTTTATGTGCTGATGGACATGCCTAAGGCCCAGGATGGCATGCGCCAACGCACCAATCAAATATGGTTAGAGCCAGGCTAGCCTGTTTAGGCTTCTACAGAAAAATGGAGCTTGAGGGAGTGCAAAGGGAAGCACGGCGAGTGAGCGCCAAGAAGCACCTGAAGCATGAGTCAACCTCTCTTTCTTTGTGGGTGCGCTTGTGTGTTTGTACTGTTGGACTAGCTTTCAATCATACCACTTGCCAAATCGTTTCCACTCTTTGTCAAGTTGGGCAGCAAATTATCTTCTGTCCCATGACCAATGTGTAGGCCATCCAACCCCTGAAGACCTAAGAGGTAGGAAGAGCCGCTCGCAGTCAGCTCGTGTTTTCAAGCCTACTCGGGCTGGAGAAGTCAAGCCTCGAAGCAGGCTCTCTCATACCCAGGAGTAAAGCTCAAGCTTTGCATTGGCAAAGTCGAGCTGCTTCTCGGAGTCTTCTGCATAGAGAGAAATGGCCACTCTAACTAAGTAACTTACGAGTTAGTTAGATTCCCAACTAACCAACCACTGACTCTTGAAACTGCCCCCACTAGCCCCCACTAGCCCCAACTTCTAACCAACTACTAACCAACTACTAGCCAACTACTAACCAACTACTAACCAACTACTAACCAACTACTATCCAACTACTAAGCAGCTACTAAGCAACTACTAACCCACTACTAACCAACTACTATCCAACTACTAACCAACTACTAGCCAACTACTAACCAACTACTAACCAACTACTAAGCAGCTACTAACCAACTACTAACCAACTACTAACCAACTACTTTCCAACTACTAACCAACTACTAACCAACCACTAACCAACTACCAACCAACTACTGCACTAACCAGCTACCAACCAACTACTAACCAGCTATAACTAGCCCCCTATCCAACCAACCAACCAACCAACCAACCAACCAACCAGCCAGCCAGCCAGCCAGCCAGCCAGCCAGCCAGCCAGCCAACCAGCTAATCAACTGGCCTTTGAAACTGCGCAATGCACAGGACTTCGGTGCGAGCTCTGAACGGCGTGTTTTTCACCCCACAACTTGCACGACGCCCGCAATTCAGGGCAGGGTGGGTGTGTCAAGTGCATTTGGAAAGATAACTTTTCACTAAGACTGTCGGTGGTGCAGCCAGCCTGGCGTCTAGTTTGATGCGTGACCAGTCCGATGTCCGAGTCTACTAAGTTTCAGTCAAGTTGTGAGACTGCAACTTTTCCGGGGCTTACACAGACTGGATTTTGCCGAGGGCAGTTCCCGCTGGACCATGACACGCCGGCTGCATCTTGCTGATGGATTTGCCTGGAATCGCATCAACGAGGGAATCAAGCAACGTCTCAGATTGTGGATTTTGGGAGCAGATAGTGGCGAGGGTGATGCAACAAGCAATTACGCAGTTCCAATCCAGCATTTGAGATGTAGTTCATCTCACCAAGCTGTGTCTCGAATGCAATTTTGCCACTTGACATGCAAGGAGGTTGGTATCTTGATAAATTCTGAAATCAGATAATTGATGTGAGATTGACTCGTTGTTTCTGGATGTAGTTAAGGGAATGCAGGGTTGGCATTCAGAAAGCCAAGTTGCACCGCATTGCTCCGCACTATTCTGCGAAGAAACTTGACCATGGCCTTGGCACTTACCATAGGTTTGGTTAGGCCTGGAGTAGAGTGCCAGCCAGCTGACACGCCTAAGTGCGTGGCAGTTTCATGCAAGGATCTCCATTGCCAATCGTATGTTGGAAAGACAGACTTTAGCAGCAGCAACTATGATGCTTGTTGGGATCCACGTTTGGGCGGTGGACTCTCTTGCAACCATGCGGACCACAGATCGCCAAAGGCATCGCGCACACGATGAGCCTAAGCCTATGGCCTGCATCCACTCTGGTGGTCAGTGGTCACAATCGCACGGAACCTCTGCAATCGCATGGACCTCGGCAAGCTGTGCCCAAAAGTTTCGATCGCCGCAGAGCTTGAGGAACATGTCAAGCATTGACCAAGGGGCACTAAGTTGCTGCTCAAACAGGAGGAAAGCGCGGCTGAAAAAGAGTGTGTGGATAGTGAATTCGGACTAGCTTTCTTTCCACAATCACAAGCAATTGGAGCCAATCAACATGCTTGGAAGCATGCCCCTCCCTCACTTCAGACCAGACACTCACATCAATCCCTTTCACATAGCATTGATTACGGTTTTCCCGGTGTTGAGACTAAGTGTCGTTGAGCACCCATGGCACCTCCGAGGCTTTGTGCCGCTTGCCGTTTTGCGAAGCTTCCCTGAGAACTCAGTTGACGGTTGCGTGCTAGGCTCTGCACGTTCTGAATGGCCAAAGACGCTGTCAAGGCGAGATCTGATGCATGCCATGCTCGAGCTCGCGCCGACCGAGGTCTTAGTGCGGCTTTTGCCGCCTGAGATTACCGAGGACGAGCTGGTTGCCAGCGTCATAGTGAGACCTTGCGGCTCGCTGCGTGTGATCTTCTGAGGGATGCCCCATGCCTTGAGGCCACAGTGCCAGAGGCACACCTCCAGCACACTACATGGCGCAGTTTTCAGGCCGTTCGGCAAAGCATCACTGGTAAATTTTTGCACTTGTCAGATGTCCAGTCCAGGCTGGCAAGCGCTACAAGGGTGAAGCCAAGCCGTCTGTAAATGCACGCGCACTCCTCAGCTTGGAATGGAAGCACCTTCACTGCCAGCGGCTAACTTGCCAAGGCTGCTATTTTCTATTTGACGACGAAGAGAACGCAGAGAAGTTCATCAAGGTTTCACTTCATTACCTTGCACATATGGAAATTCTGGTGAAGATTGCATGTTTGATGCAGGAATACCATGGACATCAATTCGTAGACGGTCAGGGGGAGAACTTCCGGGCTGTGGCCTGTTTTGCCCCATACCCCAAGGCGAGCAACTAAGTGCAAGACATGCCTACTGACGGCAATGCACGAGCGGACATGGACAATGCCGGATTCTTTGTGTTGCTTTGACCAGACCTTTCAGGCTCCGCGGAATAAGACTTCCAAGGCCCTGCAACCGCAGCACGGGCTTTCTGTCAAGACTGATGCGACCGTCAGGACAGTCGAGATGGTACGATTTTTGAGGATGCCACATACAAAGAGCCTGCATCTGAGCATCTGAGTCTAGCACGGGGATTTGAGATGTGATGCCAAGCCAAGGTTCCTGGAAAGCCTCTCAGCTCCAAGGACGTTTGAGGCCCCAGCTGAGAAGGCAGGCCTCATACCTGGCTCTCGCGTCTCTCGCAGGCACCTCCGAACCCGGTCTCCTTGATTCAGCCGTCCAGTGCCAAGGCTTTCGCGAAAGCCCTTAGACTTGAAAAGGACGCGAGGCGTGGTTGCCAGGACACACCCCTCCTGAACTACATGAAGACGAGGCTGGCAGCTCTTCAATAGCTTCAATCGCCGGCGACGTCTTAATTACGCCAGGGCGGCTGAAAGACGTGCACGCCAAGATAAGCGTGCCATGCCTGTATGGAGGGGCACCATGTGGTCGGTTGCAGACGCTCATGCACATATGTCACTGCTGTTTGCTTCAGGTGAAAGGGAACGGAAGAGATGGCGTTTGGCACTTGACGCGAACAGGGATTTGTGCATCATGTTGATCTCTGAGATGACCGCCTTGGGCGTATTGAAGAGAAGCCAAAGTGGCGCTGCGCGGAGTGATGGCCCCGGAGCATTCCTATCGCCCTCAGATGGACAGTGCATGCCGATCGCCAGATGCGGCACCACGAAGCAACTCGAGGAAGACCCGGATGCTCGAGGCAAAATTCTGCTTGCGTGCTACCAAATTGGTAGTTTTCCTTTGGTTTCCCTTACAACGAATCTAAACAGGGTTCCCTCCAAACGCATCCACTGTATCAACTTCGTGTCGTACGAGGCGTCTGCTATTGCGTGTACTGCTGGGAGAAGTGGGAGGCGAAGGCAAAGCGACCAGTGTGTGTGTGTGTGTGTGTACAAGCGCCAGCTTCAGAGGAGTCCAAAAAGAAAAAGAAGTCGAAGAAAACTCCCGTGCCACTCCCAGGTTGTGTCATGCAGCTCGCTTTGAAAGCTGCCCTTGCGTGCTTTGAAAGCTGCCAAACTCGAGACTCGCACCCCACTGTGGCTTGGTGTTCTAACTATTTGGGCGTGCAGCATGTAAGAACTTGTGGAAGGAGTACGAAGAAGAAGAAGAATGGTACGAAGAGGCAGTTGGACTGAAATGTCTGCGATGTACGAGTGGCAAGCTGGGCATTGTTGCCTTGGCTCCAGCCGGAGGAGCCAACCAAGAAAAAGAAAAAGAAGAAAAAGGGCTACGAAGAAGAGTGGACAGATGACAGGAGCTTCATAAACACCTCTGCCTTCATTCTATCCACTTGAGCCAGACATGCACATACTTCCCTGCACCAATCACGCCTTTTTTTCTCCGTCTCTTTGAGCCTCTCCCTGCAGTAATTGGTATGCAGAGGCTGGGGCGTGGCTCTTAAGGGTCAGCAGCTGTGTTTCCCTTGGCGCGTCGACTCCAAGGACTGGAACGAGGGCTGGTACGAAGGCTCCGAGGCCTGGCCCGATGATGGCGTTGCTGGTTTCGCCGTTTCGCCTGGGCGACGCGCTTTTTCCTTTGCTCCGCCAGGAGCCCAAAAAGAAGAAAAAGAAGAAGAAGTCCAAGGCTGGCGGCGGGTTTTCTCATGGACCTCCTCGTGTCGCAAGGTTTCATGCAGTTGCGCTGGAGCCACCTGTCGCCTTTGCGGTGCAAGCCATGAAGCCAGGATGACGAAGAAGAGTATGGCGCATGCCATTGGCATCCAGAGGCAAACCATCCTGTGTCCAGAGGCCAAGCGGATGTGCGCACTTTGCCAGGACTACTGGGAAGAAGGTGAAGGTGAAGGAAGCAAGTCCAAAAGAAGGCATTGACCTGTTTTCCTGCAGTGCAGCAAGACATTTGTATGCGCTGTGACTTAGTTGCAATGCCTTGTGGGTTGTGTCTTGTGTCAGGTCCAAAAAGCAAAGCGAAGAGCAGTGGTGGGAAGAGTGAGGGCCCTTAGGAATCACTCCAATCGCGCTCACGCGTGGTGCGTGTTTCTGCAGGCCCGAGAAGGAAAGCACGTCCAAGAGAAGGCGGCCTACTGCCTCCTAGAGGGTAAGCAAGGCAACCAAGGCAAGCAAGGCAAGCAAGGCAAGCAAGGCAAGCAAGGCAAGCAAGGCAAGCAAGGCAAGCAAGGCAGGCAAGGCAGGCAAGGCAGGCACGGCAGGCAAGGCAACCAGGGTTCCAAAGGGCCGCAGACATTTTCCGCAACCACGCGTATTTGCCATCACAGGCCTGAGGGAAGGTGGCGTGCCAAAGAAGAGGTGAAGGACGTGCCAGTGGCAGATATTACCAGTAGAGCCAGCGAAGCCGGTGGGGGGAAGTTTCAAATAGTATCAACTATATTCTCTATCTATCTATTTGTTTGTTTACCCATCTATCTATCTATCTTTGTTTCCTTCTTTCTACCTACCTACCTATCTGTCTACCTGTCTATTTGTCTATGTTGGTCGCAACCCCACGATACCCTTAGCCTTGCTGTCTGCGCCGGAAGCGATCAAAGCTAAGCAGGTGATCGAGGACTCCGACAAGCTGAGGCAGATCGAGGCTATGCGGCACTCCGCGACGCAGGAGTCTTGAACTACGAGTTCAGTGATGCCTTGAGAAGGGCAGTTTTGAGGAGGAGCAAACCTTGGAGAGGTGCGTCGGAGGTAGGGTACTTTTGGCTCCGCAACCAAGCGCGTGGAAAAAAGGATCAGTCGAGGGCTACAGGAAGGGCCTGATCATCGGCGTGGACCGTGGACCAACCGGATCAGTTTGGATTCGCAACAACAGAGGACGGGTCGTCCAAGTGTCGCGCGAACAAGTGCGCGGCATTGAAGGCGAAGAGCTTTGGACGCCTTCATCGGATGACGTTCGCGTGTTGAAAAGCAGCGAGGATGATCTGTCTCGTAAACATGCGGCAGCTTTTGATCATCGCCCTCCAGGACCCCGTCTACTTGAAGATCTACGTGCGCTTGATGCTGCAGGGCAACTTCAAGAAGAGGATGCTGCTCTACCAGCTCTACTACCTTTACCTTTTTTGTCTCAACAGCCCGAGCAACCTCAACTTGCACGACCAGCAGAGCCTGTCGTTCTCCAGAAGGATGACGTGACTGATCAACCACAAGCGGTACTACCACCAGTCCCTGAAGATGATGATCTGAGGAGCCATCGGCAACAGCTTCCCCGGAGCCAGACAGAGGTGATGAGAATCAACCAGCGGCGTCTTCGAGCTCTTCTACCGAAGGCGGAGGTTGGTTTTAGATCATGATGGCAGACCGACCCTGGCTGTGGAGAACGCGTCAAACTACCGCACCAGTACGATACCGAGAGGTACCGCTACCGCGCCAGCTGGGTCTACCGCAATGAGTGGTGGGAGAAGGCCGAGGACAGGGTTCCGTGGAAACAACTTCAAGAACCAACAGCGGCTGACTTTCAGCCCCGACACCTCCAAGGGTCGAAGGCCATCAATCGAGTCAGCCAGAGGCGTGAAGCGGTCTGCATCCAATGTGGGACTTCAAGATCGAGAGTCAGAAGTCAAGCAGGCTGCCGCTTACTCACGTGACACCCGAACAGGAAGAGCCGAAGGGCGAGATGCATGTGGACCAGGCTTTGTTGCCTGTGCTGCATCAACTGCGGATGTCGTTGTGTTCGATGTACGGGGACTTCGTAGAGAACCCCGAAGAGGTGCCCAGTTGGTTTGCTGGAGCTGCCAAACGAGAAGCCTTCCGCCTCAAGGATTACGAGTACGACAAGGGCTACAAGCAGTGGCCTAACGCGATCTCGGCCAGGGCAGGCGCTGTGGAACTACCTTGCCCGGACGAGCCAGATGATCTTCGCGAGAACGAGACCTACCTGACAAACATGGGCCAGATGTTCAAGCGCCCGCCGGAATACTAGAATGAGACCCAATACGATATGGAGTGTGGCCGAGAAGAACGACGATGGCGAGTGGCAATGGCAGGAAATCTTCAGCCAGATCGGAGTGGGCGCCGACATGCTGGAGACCCACATGGAACAACCGCGTGCCTACTTTCGACATCAGCTTTGCGACCAACCTCAAGCGCTACCGCACGGGAGACCTTCATCACTTCGGAAAGCAGCCAGACACGGACGCCGCTGTGAACGGATTTCCGGCTGGGACGGAAACCCACCTCAATTACAACCTCTCTTTCAAGACGACCAGTTCACCAAGATCTACGAGCAGTACCTCGTCGACATCCGAGGACCTCGAATGCAGTTCTATGACTGGGCCTGCGTCAGCTACATCCTGCTCTCCGTCTACGGCATCTTCGGTCTTCCGCGTGGACATAAATGAGAACGAGGAGGTGATCGCGGGTCCTGAGTCCTCGGGCGAGGAGGAAGGTACCGAGGCCGATGGCGGGGCCGGCAGGCAACCGCGAAGCAGGACAGCCTGGCTTCGCGGGCTATGGACGAATGGTGGAGCACACCGGTGTGGGCCAAGGTGGGCGAGATCGATGCTGCTCTGATTTTGAAATCTTGCGTGTGCTACAAGTGGAAACCCAAGGACCGTTGCAAGTGGTTCAAGCACAGAGCGAGAATCGTGGTTCAGGGTTACCGCGATCCACACTTGCCGCTTCTCAACAGAGGTGCTCCGGCGCTGGCCAAGCCGAGCTTGATCCTCATTGTGCAGTGGGCGGCCAGCTATGGAGTTGCTCTGTGGAATTGGTGATTGCAAGTCAGCATTCCTTCAACGAGAGCCAGACACAGAGAGGCCGGTGTGCATTTACATAAGGTTTCCGGGTGACCCAGACAGACAGTTGTTTATCAACTCACGGCTCCGGTGGACAAGCAAATGCTCCAAGACGATGGTATCTGCGTGTGCTGCGGGTTTTGACTGTGGATGATACCCTCATCTGTTGCTTGCGTGGCTTTGAGCATATGCTGCACAAGGTTCAGAAAGCAATTGAGTGGGGAAGCGCTTGGGAGAAGGATGGCTTCATGTTCGTTGGCAGGCGTTTTGTCCGGCAAGCAGACAACTTTACCGTGGACCAGGCGCACTATGTCGCCGACATCTCTCTTACGAAGGTCACACTGGACCACCCACGACGAGAAACTGTGGCGTTGGCAGTTTGCAGTGGATGGCTGGCACGAGTCGTGGCGACCTTGCCGCGGACACTTCGCTGCTGCAGAAACCACCACCAGACCTCGCAAATTGGAGATCTCGTCGCAGTGAACAAGGCGCTGACGGAGTGCCTCTGTTTGAGGTGGTCCCCGTGACAGAATGCCAGGTCACTTTGGGACGCCGTTCATAGGCTTTCCACATCTTTTCAGGAGAAGCGGGTCGAGATTGACGGGGCCACAACAGCAGTGCATTAACCTCCGCTGGGTTCCGACAGAGAAGCAGCGTGCGGACGCCATGACCAAGAGGTGCCCAAAGCTCAGAGACGAGTTCTGGAGGTGGATGCGCGAGGCGGTGGCGACTCTTGTCGAGTCTCGTTCGGCTGATGAGCCTGAGTCGGGTTCATGATCCGTCACCCTTTGAAGACCAAGAGGTGGGACATCGTGCGCGCACCGTGCCTTGCGTGGCAAAAGGTCTGAGCAGCTGAGCAGGCTGGTGGCTTGAGTCCTTCTACCGTTTCTATCGCAAATGTAATGTAATGTAATGTAATGTAATGTAATGTAGTGTGGTGTATGTCAATGTAACGCAATGTAATGTCATGTATGCATGTATCTATTAATTCACTCCTTTCTATCTATGTATCTATCTATCCCTATCTATCTATCTATCTACCTATCTATCTATCTATCTATCTATCTGTCTACTATTTGTTTGTCTGTCTGTCTGTCTGTCTGTCTGTTTGTTTATGTATCTACCTATCTATCTATCTATCTACCTATCTGTTTATCTATTTGTTTTTCTATCTATTGATTTATCTACCTGACTATCTACGTATCGATTATGTTTATCTTTCTATCTATCTTTCGATCTATCTACCTATTTATCTACCTATCTATCTGTCTATACCTTTCTATTTATTCATCAACTTTACCTGACTATCTACGTATCTAATTATTTATCTATCCATCTATCTACCTATCTTCTGCGTCTTAACCATCTTATCCATCCTAGCCTAAGCCATCTATTTGTATATCTATCTATCCATCCATCTATCTATCCATCCATCCATCTATCAATCTATCTAGCTTTCAATTAGTTGTCGAGCCATGGAAGTTCCTTCTAAACTTCCCTTTGATCAAGGGCCAGTGCGGCAGAGGCCTAAAACGAGTTGCCATGTGGGTCTTCGTCTAAAAACAGGGCTGCCCCAAACACAGTCGTCCTTGTGGTTTCTCTGCGGTACCCTCGAAAAGCACACACCCACGTGCCTAGTGCTAGCTGGATGTTACGGCTAGGAGCCTCAGCGGCCCCGAAGAAGCAGGACGGCTTGCTTCAAGCTGCGCATGCTGGGTGTTTCTCAATGGTCCCAAAAATGGTTCGTTTTCTCTTGGACTGGGTCCACCATCTTGAGAAACTCCTATGTTTGCCTCCTGCAAGTTATCGCTGGTGAAGGATCGCTTCGTTTGCGTGTCGTTAGTGTGACTTGCATGCCCGATGCATGGTATTTGCTCAGGCGTGAGAAGGATGGAGAATCCCAATGGGTGCCCAAGTCCTGCACTTAGACGCGTCTAAGCTTTGTTGAATGCACTTCCTGGATGTATTCGTCAGATCAGCAAAGCCAACTCAGCAAGTTTTGTACAATCCAGGGCCCCAAAGCTGCACCACACACTGATATTGTTGGAGGTCGCATTGAAGAAGCACGTGTTAGCTTTGTAGACATCAAGTTTGTCAAGCTGGAACAAAACAAAGGCAAGGGCCCACAAAGATCAAGCTGTGCCATCTCTGCTCACGCATCGCAGGGCTAGGTGCAAGTGCTGGATTCCGGGTCCCACATGCATCCATCCAATGATATGGATCGTTAATGTTATGCCAGCTGGCCCAACGAGTTTAGCGTCAAGCTTGTCGTCAAATGCACACGTGCGAAGGATGCGCGTGACGGGAGAAATGGGCTAGTGCTTGACATGCAGCACAAATTGCCATTTCCGGGCATCAGGGGCGTTGTGTGACATGCTTGACATTGCTTGATATTGCTTGACATGGGCTGACACTGAGCACGCTTGCGTGCATAATGATCGTGATGCGCAGCGATGGGTGGGCAGTGAAAGTAGGCACTCATAGGCAGCCACGCCAGACATGCATCACAAGATAGGGACAGGGCAGGTTGAAAGACACTGTTGCACAGTTCAAACTGTACATGTCTGACGCGCGCAGCATGCGTGACGTACGATGAATACAAAATCAGGAATTTGTGAAATTCATATCATGACATGCACTAGAGAGATGGCACACCGACACAAATGCGTGAGTAGTGCATGCGTTACCTTTATACGTCCTGTGCACATCACCGTGCGCATAGCAAGGCATGACATGTTGAGCAATGTACACGACATGCATGAGATGCATGGCATCCATGACACACTCAAAAGGCAAGTGATCTATCCCCTTTGCCAATGTTGCGGAAGTCCCTCAACGATCGTCCGTCCGTCCATACGATGAGGTCCGGTGTCTGTTCACGCCGCGGCATCCGGCCAAAAGCAATGTATTATATTAGAGCGAGCGCGGAAGGCCTTCTTGCTTTGGTTCGTGGCAAGCCACGCGAGATGGAGAGCAAGACATGCGTGTCTGCAGATTTTCATGCTTGACGTACATCACTCACTTGCTAGACATGTGAGCACGGTTGAGGGATGCAACGTACATGCTACATGACTATGGAATTGCCGTGCATGTGCAATATTTGGAGCACGCATTGCATACATCACACATATGTCAAGCATTGTGCGCGTTGATTACTTGTCATGACTGGCTCGATTTTGGTCTGTGGCTGTCCTGCCAAGGCTTCAGCAATGAGCTGGGTGCCAAATTCCTTGACGGCCAGACGAGGCTGCCTTCAGTGGTCTGCAACTTGGTTATGCTAGGCAGGCCGAAATGACTAAATGGGTGTGTGGTTTGTTGAAGGTTCCCTCTTTTTGTGGTTTTCAAGGGAAACCAGAAGGACAGCCACCATGTTGGGGGTCCCCCAAAAAAGACATGCCCAAATGGAATAAAAGCCATGCTGACACGCCGTACGACACAAGTGCCGTGAGGGGTCTTTGCGCCTTTGAGGCCTGGTGCAAAGTCACTTGGGAGAGCAGATGTGCCGCTGACCGTCTGAGGGGCGGACGCACCGGCAAAAAGCGGAGCACGCTCATCCAGCCACGTTTGCCTCACCGGCACCCGATTTTCACATATGGGGGCATCCAGCACTACTTGTGGATATCTTGAATACATCGGTTTCCATGTTAACGCTGCAAATGTTATTGATATTTGCTCTGAGCTCACTGCACTTGTGAATCGCGCGAATTGACGATTGTATTGTGTGATTCACGTACCACGCGATTGGTCTTTATATGCTACTGCAATCAGGGAGGTTGTGCAAGTGTCAGTGCGCAGGATAAGCAATAATCTTTCGCAACTTGAGGACGATGCGATGACTTCGTCAGATTAGTTTTTTGACTGGTTCGGAATCCCGGCAAGGGATAAACGGCAAACGGCAACCAAGAACTCATTCAGCCTACTCACTTGTTCTATTCGCAGGGCATGCGTGAAGCATTGTTTAAAGTTTAGGGGAATCGGTTGGCATTGTCTTTGTGGCACTGTGTTCCGCGACGATTTCCCGACCGCACTTGCCTTCGCCCTTGCCCAAGCTTCTTGTGAAATCGACGCCTTTGCCTTTCATGCTACTGCCAGATCTTTTGGCTGATTCGGTTTTGCGCGCACAAGACACTGGCACCATTCCACATTCACATGATTTCACTACAGAAGTTGTACATATGATGCTGTCCCAGCCTACCTCTAATCCACTGTAGCACAGAAGACAGCCGCGTTTTATTTTCCATCTCATGTAGATTGGATTCAGACTTAACTTGCACCGCGCTGCACTTAGTTCAAGGGGTCCAGCAAACATGGCTCTAGATTGAAAGAGAGTCGACAAGCGGGCCTAAGGTGATTTAGCGCTTTCTCTGCCTGCATCATCGAGGATTGCCTTCCACCGTGTGTGTCACACTTTCATGCAAATGCCATTTGTTGTTGCTGTGCAATCTGAACGTATGATGCAGCTAGCTATCGGCTTGCAACACACGCAGAGGTCATGCTTAGCTTTTCGGATGCGTACAAGTTCGTTGCGGTCTCCCTGCCAGGAACATGGCTGAAGATGGACAGATGTCTGAACAGGCTCTGCTCTGAACATTCGGGCATGGGTCAAAATCAAAGCACCAGGGGACCGCAGGTTTTAGTCCTTGGTTCCAGTTACCAGGATTCCATTTTGGGTAGCGGGCCTTGCTGAGCTTTTGAACGTTAGGAGAAGCAGCTGCGTGACTGCTTTGGCAAGTTCGATGTGAATGGCGACGGCAAGATTCAGGCTAAGATGTCAACCTCGTGTATGGGACATTGCGCATGTTTGACTGGAGGCTGATGAGTTCAAACGTCTCATGTCCAGCCTTGGCGGTTTCAGCTCCAAGGACGGCATTTCAGCTAGGGAGTTGGTGATTTGCCTGGTGCTCTCAAGTGGCCATGCATCACGAGCAGTCCACATGGGAATCCGTTCTGGGTGCACGATAAAGCTCTCAGTTTGATCATTAGCAATTCGCAGGAAATCAGGCGGCTCTTCAAAGAAGCTGACTCAGATGGCTCTGGCAGTGCGGCTCTCATGCTTTCTCTGAGTTTCTCAGCTTCGGAGCTGGTGGTCAGCATAAAGAACAGAGGGACGCTGATGCATGCTGCATGAAGCATGTGTGTTTGTCAGGTCCACACAGCGTAGATGCTTTTGACCTTGCTAGATTGTGGTGCGCAAAGGTGTGGACTGGCGCGAGTTTCTATCTTGGATCATCAACGGCACAGCTTTGAAAGGAGCCGCCGAACATGATGCCACACGCCTTGATCGAGTGTACACTGTCCATGACATAAAATGTTGCCTGCCAGGAATGGGAGCCAAAGGTGCTGCCTCCTTCGAGCGGCCATGTGCTGAAGTTACGTTCGATGTAAGTGATGCGCCCTGGGAGTGCCAATCTGAAGCTTCAGGCTGCTCAACGCCGAAACGCAGGATGAAGCTAGCTATGTCGAATCCGCCCGGCGCCTCAGTCAGCTGCGACGCCTCCTTGGGGGCAGGACAGTTGGAGCCCGACTGGGCCAGCGCAATTTGGTTATGGGTCAAAATTAAACCACCAGGGGAACGCAGGTTTTAGTCCATGTTTCCATTTACCAGGGTTCCATTTTGGGGCTACCCGATTTTTGACCAGCAGTTTGGTTTCTCAGGCGCAAGTTGGGCACAGCGTGACGGAGTACCTGAAGAAGTCAGGCTCAAAGGACCGAAGGAGGCCGCGAGCGGGGAGAAAGGCAGCTGCCAAGGCGCGCGATGTTGTGAAGCGTGTGCGAGTTAAACATTTGAGATAGCCTTAAGGGGCATGGGCGAATGAATGCGAGGGTGGCTGCGATGAATTTGGAGTTCCTGAAGATTACGTTGGACACAGGAGCTGCTCAGAATATCGCGCAGAGAGATCGAGGCTGAACCTCTCACGTATGCCTCGCAAGGATCGAGTGGCCAATGACACTTCCGGGCGCACAAGCTTTGCTTGGTCAGGGCCCTTGCAAGGGGGGGGGTTTTGGAGGTTTGGCACTGGCAATGCAAACGCCCAGATCACTTCCTCTTGAACGGGGCCAACAGTCCCCTTCATCAGAAGTCCTGCCCCCAGCCTGCCCCCAGTGGGCATTTCTGCCATGCCATCAATTTGCCAGGGAGTTTCTCAAAATGGCAGACCTCCTTTTGGTATTCAAAGGGAAACGTTGCCATTTTAGACTGATTCCTACTTTAAAAAGCCTCCGTCTCAGGCACGTCATGCTTATCCTTGACCAGTTCGTGGAAGCATACAAGACTCGGCACCCCAAGCCCGTTGTGAATACAGAAGTTCCGCAGCCAGACGGGAGGCGTGGCGATTAGTCCGAAAGGGAATCATGGAAGGGCGGCACAGGGTAGCGGCAAGAAACATTTAAGAGCACAGCGGAGGAGACGCACAGCTGTTCCAAACAGCATGCAAATCCTGGCAGCAGGGTCGCTAGCTGGCTACACTCCTTGCAATTCTGTTGTGATTGTCGGGCTAGAATCCACGAAGTGCATGCAGACTTTGAACTGGCTCAGCTCTTTGACAGGCTTATAATTGTTGGCGACACGCACGGGCAGCTGGCTGATGCACCCCTGAATCAATTGCAAGGCACCTTGCGGGAATGAAATTGCATTTTGGCAGGTACTTCACATTCTCTACCACCTGGGCCCTCCCAATGCCAAAAACAGGCAGGGCAGAGCAGGTGCGGTGGGTGTGCTTCTTCTGCACGATTCAGTGCCTTGGCACCAGGTATCTCTTCAATGGTGACATGGTCGACCGTGGAAGTCAGGCAGCGCTCATGGCCCCTACCATTGTTTAAGGTCTAACCATGGCTAACTCTTTTCCCCCAGCTCTTTCCAGGGGGTGGAGATTCTGCTCATCATCTTCTCGTTTTTCCTGGCGGATCCAGAGCGCCTGCCTCAGTTGGTATTGGATAAGTCTTTAGTCAGTGAGACTGCAGTTTTGACCATCGTAGCCCGAGAAGCATTCAAGCTCATTCGACAGAGACATGCACCCAGAGCAGCAAACATCCGGTTGAATTTGAAGGTCGATCATCATCCACCGTGGCAACCACGAGAACGAGGACGTTTGTCATTCGAGTCCCATTTGCTGATGCCAGCTTCTCACAGGACATGAATGCTCTTCATGCTGACAACGGGGGCGGCTTTGAGGATGAGGCTAGCTCTCTCTTATTTTTCCCCAGACAACCGGACTGTCTATGTTCCATTTGGTCAGCCCCCAACATGAAGCAACGCAATGATGCCTGATGCCTGACGCAAGTTTGGCAAGTGCAGCCGTCTAATTATTTCGTGCTGTGACCATTTAATTTCTCTTCGTTTTTGTAGATCCCACTGCTTACTTGTTATGAATGTGCAGTCTTCTCAGCTGAATTCCTTGAGCGCACATTGTGGATGTTCACTCAGTCGAAGTTGCTCTGTTTTGTGAAATGCAGGGCGACCACAGCCTGCAGCAACGCTGCTCTGATAATTTTGGTTGTGTGCAGCTTCTGACGCTGCGGCAGCCTCTGCTTCATTTTTCATGCGGCTCCTGGTATCACCGTGGTACATGCTAATCTTGATGCAGAATGATACGTTCTGCGCCATCTCGGCCATGCTCATCGCGACGACCTTGGTATTCGGGCTTCACTTCCTCTGCGTGCTTTGTGAGCTCTGAAAACATGTGGTCTCAGCAAGTACTACAGGTACTAGAGGCGTGATATGTACAGTGAAGAATTGAGTCAAGAGCAAAGAGCACTAACTCCCTCTCCTGTCCCGACTTCTTTCTTTACTTTTTTTTCTTCTTCCTTTTTTCCGATCCCTTCTTCTATCCAAGCGTTTGGGTAGCAGCACGAAGCGTGTCAAGATGCAACCTGCTCTAGATGGCAGGTGATGGAGAAGTATGGTTTGTCTGTGCATGGGCCCAAGTGTTCCTGCGCATTCTTGAATCATATGGGTGTGGCTCAAAATGACAAGCTAGGGCTACGCAGGTTTTGGTCCATGTTTCCACTTCCCAGGGCAAGCCATTTTGGAATTCCGTCTTCTTGAGCCGCAGCCATATGACCTCGCCACAAGGTATCGCAACTTCATCAATGCCTTCAAGGCCCTGTCGCTGGCCTCTGTCATTAACAAGGCCTGCCCTGTGCAAAGTGGAGCCGGCGGGTGTCTTCAACGGCATGTGCAGCCAGAACAGATCTGGAGGCATTCTTTCTTGCAGAGATGGGGATAGAAAGACGGAAAGAGAAAGGAAGAGAGATAGAGAGAGAGAGAGAGCGAGAGAAAGAAAGAAAGAAAGAAAGCGAGCAAGCAAGCAAGGAAGCAAGAAAGAAAGAAAGAAAGAAAGAAAGAATGAAAGAAAGAATGAAAGCAAGCGAGCAAGCAAGCAAGCAAGAAAGAAAGAAATAAAGAAAGAAATACAGAAAGAAAGAAAGAAAGAACAACAGAAACGCAGAAAGAAAGGAAGGAGGAAAGAAAGAAAGCAAGAAAATAAGGAAGGAAGGAAGGAAGGAAGGAAGGAAGGAAGGAAGGAAGGAAGGAAGGAAGGAAGGAAGGAAGGAAGGAAGGAAGGAAGTAAGGAAGGAATTAAAGAGACACATGGATGGAGAAAGAAAGAAGGACAAAAATCAAGAAGGATACGTATTCTAAATACACAGAACTAACAATGAACAGTGAAAGACACAGAAAGAGCTACAAAGCAAAGCAAAGATAGGAAGAAAGGAGGAAAGAGTGACAACTATGAAATTAAGAAGCAGACAGACACATAAGCACAAATAGAGAATAAGCAAAGTACGCATATTTTGAAGAATAACAGAACAAAAGAACAATAAAGAAAGCCACATGAACAAGAAGAAACACACATTAGCAAAAATAAGGAACGACATCAAGAAAGGCAGAAAGAAAGACAGACAGAAATAAATAAATAAAGAGATAATGAAAGAAAGACAAAAAACAAGAAAGAACGAAAGAAAGCAACTACAGAAGGACATCAAAACAAAAGGCCATATAAACATAACATGAAACAAACATGAACAAAGGAAGCAGCAGAAAGAAGCAAAGGGAAACTCAACAAAGAAAGATAGAAATAATGAACGAATCAAAGAACCAAAGAAACAAAGACACAACAACACACAGAAAGACATACAAAAGAAGGAAATAAATGAATCAACCAATAAAGAAACAAAGACCATACGAAATAAAGAAGTCACAAAAAGAAAGACACAAGGGAAGAAAGAAAGACAAAACGACAGAAATAATGAAAGAAGGAAAGAAAGACAGACAGACGGAACAACAGGAATAAAGAAAGACATACATAAAGAAAGACCATAGGACATAAATACATCCGCATAAATAGAAATATCAATAAATAGCAAGAAGCAAATGTAAGGAAACAAAAAGAGCAAACGGGACAAGTAAAGAACGTCAGCCAGAAGTACAGACATATACACATACACAAAGAACCAAAGTCACCAAAGAAACAGCACACAGACAAGCAAAGATAAGACACAAAGAAGGAAGGACAGGCAAGAAAGGCAAGGAAATAAATTGAAAGGAAAGGTAACAACATATACCAACCACGCAAGCAAGCTATCAAGCGAGCAAGCAAGCAAACAAGCAAACAAGCAACCAAGCAAACAAGCAAACGGGGAAGCAAGGAAGCAAAGGAAGCACAAGCATGGGAGCAAGGAAGGAAGGAAGGAAGCAATCAAGGAAGCAAGGAAGCAAGGAAGGAAGGAAGACAGAGAGAAGAGAGGGAGGGATAGAGATAGACTGCAGGAGATCTTTGTTGTTCATGGCGGCCTGACGAGAGCTTGGGCCTCATTGAATTGGTGATTTATTTCAAAACAATCTGCTGGGGGCTGGCCTTGACCCAGCTTCCGTCTGTTCGAACAAAGGTCAAGAACCTGACGATCGACTACATCAACACCCTGCCTTTCCAGGCGTGCGCTCCATTCGCAATCTGATAAGCAACGCCATATCGCTTAACAGAACTGATCAACCGGAAACACTGTCACCAGCCAATGTAAACTGCAACACGGATGCTTGCTGGTCCCGTGTTCTCAGCTGCAGCATGCATGTCCAAACACTGCACGGGGCGTTTAGCAGCGACTGCGCAAGTACTGAGAGGAGAGGATTGATGCGGACCGGTTGTACCACTTGGTTGCACCAGGAGTACACGGCGCCGCATCCCATGTCAACCAACGTCAAGGCGTGCAACCTACTGTCAATTGAACGCTGACAGAACAGTCTTGAGTGTTTGCAGCGCTTCTCCATTGCAGGAACAGCTGTTCTCAGATTTGCTTTGGAGTGACCCCACAGAGCACGAGGGCAAGTACAAGTCAAGCCGCCCTGCTTTCCATTTGAATATGATGAACATGCAGCAGTGACTTGTTGGCTCGAGTACAATGTGTCGATCAAGAAGGCAATTGACCTCAACGGCACCTTGCAACGCAGGTTTGTTGGCTTGCATGTGTTTCCTCTTATGCACAGCTATGAACAGGCGTATCGGCATAGAACATGGCCCGCAGTTTGCAATTATTTCAGGAATTCTCAACACCACGCTACACAAATCGAACTGCAACTTTCTGACGTCAATAAGAGCGAGTCACATCATAAATCGCGTCGCGAGCCAGCGATGCTACCACTTCCAGGCCATCATTTGCCAGTTGACGAGTCAATACCCACGCCATTTGGAGAGGCCAGCATCTCCGGCGATGTCATCCCACCAGCTTCCCCAGTGCGCCAGCGAAACCAGGCGGAGCACAACGGCCTTGATGCATCTAAGCGCTCGAAAAGATGTTTTGGCGTGTTGCGCATGCTGATATGAGCCACAATCAAAGCCCGGGTAGATGAAGGTTGGCAAGGGGCAGTCCCAGCCAGAAATAGTTGCGGCCGCCTTCTTAATTCTTTACATGGTTCTGGGTAGACCATTTTAGTGCCGGGTTTTGATTGTGACTCATATGTCATCTTGGGAGGTGGATGCAACTTGGTCACAGCAGCATGCGCTGCTGGGGGAATCCTGCCGCTGTGCCAACTTCGATGCTGGAGGCCAGCCTCTTGATCCGGATCGACCCCCATTAAAAAAGAATGGTTGACCAACATTTAGATGATGAACATCCTTCGGTAAAAGAAATAGTGGTGCTTACATTAGCCCCCCTTGTTTTACTGGTGGTGATTGAACCCCAGGGTTGAGCCACTCTGGTCGTTTCTTCTCTGGCCCTGCTACACGAGCTGTCGGCACGAGGCGAGTGGTCAGAGCCAGGGACAATCGCCGCTGCCTCAGGTTTTCGTCGAAAGCCTCACTCACTTCTGCTGATTTGAGGTCAAGATGGCGACGAGGATATTTAGTCTTGGGCCGATCCAAAATTTTTGGCTTCGGCTTTGCTGCCCGAAGGATCTGCGCAGTTTGCGCTTTCGAGGCGTTCGGCTCCTTTTCGGAGTGGCTTCCTGAGAGCCACGGGTCACAGAGTCGGTTTGGAGACAAAGCTGGCTAGAGGCTTCGTCCCTGCAGCGGCTGCAATCTGCCCACGTTGCAGTTCTGGGTGCGGGACTCCAGTCTGCGAATTGGGCTTCTGAGCTAGGTGTCCTTTTTGGTTGGTTTGCTTAAAAAATAGAGGGCCCTGGTTTCGGGGTTTCTTCCATTTGCCAGGGCCATCTATTTTTCCAAAAGGCCACCTACGCTTCTGAGTCGAGCTTATGTGAAGTCTGGAGCTCTCAGCTGAGGTATTGGCGGAGTGGGATCTTGGGTGGTGGAGGGTCTTGCCAGGAGCGGCATCGGAGGGTCCTACACTCAGCTTCCGTTGATCGACGGGCTGCACTGCTGTGCGGCAAGGCTCACCTTGGTAGACCTGGACGAGATTTGCATTAGCAACACGAACCGGCAGCTGCGGGCCCTGTCTGTTTACATGAGCATGGTTCAAAATTAAACCACCAGGGGACCGCAGATGTTAGTCTATTTTTTCCACTTGCCAGGGTTCCATTTTGGGTACCTATTTTTGACCCACAGCCATGTAGTCTGAATTGGATGTCTTTTTGTCATGGCTTGTAGCCGCACCTTCCCCATGGTCTGTGAAGTTGAAGGTTCATCAAGCCATGCTCCGGTACCGCAGGTTGTTCAGACCCTGGGTATTCAGTAACACGAATACTTGATCCAAAAAAGACGCCCCAACCTACGGCATTCAGTTTTCTATACAAGATGCCAGTCTTGCCATTTCAAATGCCACTTGGCTTGACTAGCCTTAGGGGCATCGTTTTTTTTTGTGCCCGCAAAAGACAGAGATCCGTGCTCTTGGTACCGCTGCTCAGGGGCGCGCATGATTGAGATTGACCACTCGAACACAAAGATAAACGTTGTGAACGGTTGTGGCGGCTACTGTGGCAATCTTGGCATGCTTCACATCACAGCATCATTGGTCAGCGCATGACAGCATTACAAGTTGGCTTCAGACTAGCTAGTCAAAGTCATGTGGATAAAGTGCAGTGCTCCTGTCCACAGTCGGTGCCCCTTGTGTGTCCGTCTTTGCTTTTGCCGTGGAAGGCTGTTCCCTTCCCGTAAGACGGTTTTTACGAGACGCGGTGAATCGTGTTTGCTTTGGACAATGCAACTTTCTGAACGACCAGTCGCTAGCGTCCCCTGCAGAAAGGGCAATCTAATGTGGTTAACCTTGCTGCTTGCGCATGTCTTTGAAAGTGTTTGTGACCCAGTCTATCAACTGTAAGCCTTTCCGAACAATGCCTTGAAGAGTGCAGGAGTAAAGGCAAGCTCTAAGTTTGCCTCAGCCTCACTGCAGACCCTCCCCTGACGTTCACTGAAAAAAAGGCACATCATGGAGTCGAAACATTTTCTAGCCGCGATCAAACCGGTTCTGTGGAGATGTTGGACGCCAGGCACACGCTGCTGACCACCGTCGGACGGCCCAAGGTGCATCAGCTCCGTGTTTTGTAGATCATCTACAACAGGGTAACCTACTCCCTTTCAAGCGCAAGCATGAAGAGACATTCTGATTTAAGCTGGTGGGGCAAAGATTTCCCAGTCAGGTAGAGGTCATGGCAGACCGGGTCAGGCGTGCGTGCAGTTGATCTGGTGTTGGCTGCAGTGCACCTGGAAGCTCAGGCAAATCAATCCAGAGTGCCGTGTTGACACGGTGCCGTTGGCTTAGCTTGAAGCAACAGCTTGGCACCAGGCAGGCAGGCATGTTTGGACAGCTTTTAAGCTCGCAGGCAAGACTTTTTTGTACCCGAGACGGAGACGGAGATCCTAGACCGAAGGCCCTTTACAGTGCCCTTAGCAAGTTTGCTGCTTACAGCAAGACAACACCTTTATCCAACGTTGCCCTTATTTGCAAACCGTTTTCTGTGCGTGCTATAGAGGTGGTCGTTGATGCAATTGACGGAGTTGCCAACAAGTGCCGCCTCATTCATGCTTGCCGCGACCTAAACAACCATTGAATAGAGAACCTTGGGAAGATCGCACACATGAACTGAGGCCGTCAACGTAGCATGCCCATAGTGGTATCTGGAGGCCTTGGTGGTAAGGCTCAGTTCTCAGATAGTACACTGGCGTCACCGTTCAATTGCAACCTTCCAAGGCAGATCCAACAATGTTTCGCGAAGACGATATGTCCCGTGTACATGGTGTGGAGCTTTGCTTGGCTTTGCGTCTTGAGCCTTGCTATAATGTTTCCCAGTATAGATGGGTTGATCCGTAGCCTACGCAGGTGATGGGCTCACGAGACGTGTGCGAAACACGCTGCTTGTCAAAAGACAGCTGGCTGTCAAGTCGTTTGTTTATCGCAAGAAACCATGACTCCAGTGAGTTCTGCAGTAGTCTAGTAGGGCTGCAAGACTGCAGGCTTCGCAAAGAGTATGGCTTCCCTTCCGGTTCATCCAAAAAGCCAAAGAGGCTGTCCCGTTTGTGCTTGCTGCATAACATGTTCACTAGATAATATGAATGCCTTGGCATGCAGGTGGGGTATCCCTGTCGTGTACAGTCCAGAATCGCCAAAATTTGTGGGTGATTCGGACAGTCACCGCCTTACCATTATCTTTTTTTGGCGTGCCACAAAATGAGGGCTTCCTTGGGGCTAGGTGAAGACACCCCGGGAAGAAAGTCCTGTGCCTCATCCTCGGCTGCTTCATCTCTAGCTGAGCATCTTTGAGTGCAGATTCGCTCTCGTTTCTTGAACCAGTTGACGGCAAGAGCACGTCTCAAGGACAGCTATGGCACTTTTTGTCCTTCGGTCTGCATCTCAGCCGGATGGGGTGAGCATTTGTGATGTCATGTGTGTGAATGTGTATGTGCATGCGTGTCCCTTTGCGCCTGTTTGAGTTTGCATGCCGTGCTCCTGCATGCCTGCATGTGCGTCTGTGCACGCATGCGCTTGGGCGATCAGGCTGGCACACAAGGCTTCGCTCTCGCTGCCTGCGCAACTCGGTCGGACGCCAAGAACAATGGCTGCGCTTGACAAGTGCAGACGTATCCATTGCGGACTGCAGACTCTATGCATTGTGGAGGCTTATCATGGCGGGCTCTGAGCAGGAATGTCGACAGCGCAAACAACGCACGCCGAGACAAAGGAGTCTGTGCGGAATGGGGCGGATTCGTCATCCAACCTCAGAAGTGTGAAGCCGTGCCAGGTCTGACCGTGGCGTGGGAATCAAGTATGGTCCTGATGTCACCACAAAGTTCTGCAGCCAGAATCGACTCAGGCTCGCGAGCCAGAAAGACATACAGTGCTTTTGGAATAGACCCGGAATATGATGTATGCATGTATGACGCACACGCCTGAACACAAACGAGCCAGGTTCCTTGTGCGCAGTCATCAAGTGCCCGAGGATGGGTCTTGCTGGCACGCTTAAGCAAGTGTACTCAATGGCAATTAACAGCTAAATTCTGTAAACAGAACCACTGGATGACTTTCGTGGCTGCTGCCAGGCGCGGATTTCAGAAGCAGCACAATGATCGCTGTGTCACCGTCTTCAGCGCCAGCAACTACTGTGGTGATGGAGGGTGGGACACTGAGTTTGCCTGGTTTAGGATGCGGTTGCTAGCCAGAATGTTCCTTTGTGTGTGCAGGAACTTCGGTGCGGTGATTGTGCTCTCGGCTGCCAATTTCCCTCGGTATGAAGTCTTTGAGCGGAGCCCCTAGCTGAATGTTGAGCAAACCAAGATGCTTATCAACCTGAAGTGCTGCTTGTCCAACTTTCCACTGGGCTTTCAGGCACTTTGCTGCCCCGCTGGAAGAGATGCCGGCGATTGTTGCGCAAGGTCTGCTGGGTGGGATGGATGTGCAACTGTGCACGCATGGTGATCACACATACCTTGAAACCAGACCCCAAAAGGAGAAGCCAGACAAGTTTTTCCCGAAAGTCTTCGCTAGCAAACTCGCACGAGCACGCTTGTTCGAGCAATCTCGCATGAGCATTGCAAAGAACACTTGCACGAGCAATCTCGGCACAAGCACACTTGCACGAGCAACCTCGCGTGAGCACAATTGCGCAAGCACACTTACGCACACGCTCGCGTACTTGCGCGAGAAAGCTTGCGTGAGCAAATTTGCACATAGCACTTGTGCAGAGCAACTTGCGCAACTTGCAAGGATCACTTGCGAAGAGCAATTTGCGGCGCACATTGCGCAGAGCAACTTGCACAAAGCAACTTGCACAGAGCGCTTGCGCAGAGCAGCTTTCAAAGAACACTTCCACAGAGAACTTGCGCAGAGAAGCTTGCGCAAAGCAACTTGCGTGGAGCACTTGCAATCAACTTGCGTAGGGCGCTTGCGCAGAGCAACTTGCGCAGTGCAACTTGCGCAGCATACTTGTGCAGACCACTTGCACGCAGCAACTTGCGCAGAGGGCCAGCGCAGAGCAACTTGTGCAGAGCAACCTGCGCAGAGCAGTTGCGCAGAGCACTCGCGCAGAGCGGCTTGCACGCAGCGCAAGGCGCGCCGAGCGATTGCGCAGAGCAAGTTTCAAGGAACGCTTCCACAGAGCACTTGCGCGAAGCACCTTGCGCGCTCGCGCGAACAAACTTGCGCGAGCACACTTGCGCGAGCAAGCTGGCGTGATCGCCCTTGCGGCACGAGAGATTAAGATAAAACTTTGCCCTGCAGCGCACTTGATGGACTCCATATTGTGCTCGAAAGCGAAGGCCGCGTTTGACATTACGCCGCGCTTGCTATATGTTCTGCTTTCGGGCCACCGTTCTTCTGGTTATGTGGGCCGAATATCGTGGCCTCGTTCAGGGTTCCGGTAGGTCTTCCCGGGCAGCTTTTGTTTCGCAGGCGATGCCACGGACTGGAATCAGATGTCAACATCCCAGCAGAAAGGCAGCGCGGAGGTGCCGGCCCCCTTTCGGTTGCAAAGCTAGGCAGCTGACCTGAGGCCTCAAGGGCTGCGCGCCAGGAGAAGACCTTCGCGCCCGGAGCCCGAGACAGCTGACGTATCCGAGTCCGTCCATGTCAGGCGAATGATCATATCCATCATCGAGAAGAAACCGCAATTGTGGGCGCATGTCATCAAGAGCTCACTAGGCGTGGCATGGCTGCGATGCAGTCAGAGAGCACACAACCCGACAGGGCAGAAGCTTCCTGCGGACGACTTTGCGAGAATGATGGAGCAGTGGTGACCTCAGTCACCTGTGCGAGGTGCTGCGACATAGTTACTGGCAACTTGTTTGACTTGGCTTCGCGTCTCACAATATCTTCAATTGAAAGGGGTTTCGCAAACAGAGGGCCACCAATTCAACGCGCTTATTCAGGAGATGAACATGAAGTGAGGGCTGAAGCAATTGCACTTGCCATGTTCAGCCAAGCCTGTCCCAGCCCCATTGGGCCATTCTTTACCCGCTAAGGCAAACTGAAAGTGACCATCCATGGTCTGAGGCCATTCTGCCAGTGTTTGGCTTTGACGGTATGCACAGAAGTTTGTGCTTCACACATCCAGGCGTTGCACGCTTGGGGAGTCGTGGACCCTGATGGCAACATAGAGGCTGTGACCTTACGCCAACGACATCGAGGCTCTCCTGGAACTTGGCAGGTCACCAAGTTCCTCAACAGATGGGTCGTCAAAAGCGAGTCTGCTGGATACTCGTCGCAGCCCTGCCTGGATTTGTGTTGGGGAACAGCCAGACGAGAGACAGGGCCAGCTGGATCATGTCCTCCTCATTGGCACGCCAGGTTCGTCAACGATGCCATCAAGCAGGTCTACGAGGCAAGACTTCCAGCCAGGAGTCAAGCTTTGGAGAATATATGTATATATATATATATATAACACGTATATATATATATACACATACAGGACCTCTGCCCCACCCTTAACATGGGCAACACTGCACCCAATGACTCATGATGGAGGCCATCGTAGCCCTGGATATGGACTTGACAGAGACATTCAAGATGTTCGACAGAGATGGCGACGGAACAGTGGACCTCAATGAGGCAAAGTATGCGGGCTCCCCAGGTAGATATGAAAATGTCCGGCTCCAGTGCTGTTGGCAAACGTACGCATTTGAAATGCGCGCAACCAGGTCCTTGAGAAGTTTGACTTGGGTTTGTCGTGCGAACCTCGGGTCTGAATGTATTTTGATGTGGCAGCCTGTCGGCCAAACAACGATCCAGCCGTGAGGTCAAGCCAGATTGATCGGCTTTTGGGCAGGTTCCTCAGGGACTGACATGGTGACCTAGCGGCTTTCCGATTTGCCCTTGGTGACACAATGTTTTGCAGCGCCCAGGCCAGCTTTTCTCCACATCAGTGATCACAACTGCTGATACTGCCCGCATGTCGATCCAGGAGACTGGACCAGAGAGATCTGCTGGCAACGAAGCACCATTGCACTTGCAAGGACTTCTTGGGGCACTTCACCATGGTGTATTCTTCAACGAACAACGCTGATCTGCCCAAATGGCCCGCATCTTTGTGCCATGTGAAGACGAGAGGAGTTTTCAGCATGTGTGCTGCTGAGCAATATTGACGTCACGCTGAGGGTTCTAGATGTGCTGGGCCAGATCGGGCGCTTGATCGTCAAAGTGAAAGCTGACCCCTCAGAGACGGGCGCCTTTGGCATTGAGCTCGTGATGCATGGAGCGTTGCCTTTGGCGAGGCCCCAGGCGCGGATTTGTTGCCATTCATTCGCATCAAGTCTCACCTGGATTGAGTTGAAGTGCCAAAGCCACCTGCAGCTCGGGGCTCAAGCAGTGATGGCTTGGGCTGATATGCTGGTTGCGGATGACCCGCTGGTGGATTCTCATGCTGTGCTTCTCATGTGAGCTGGCGCCCCAGCTCTGTCCAAAGCCATCCCTGATGGCTTTGAAGGGATGTCAGCTGTCAGCTGTCAGGTCCGGTGAGGTGCCTTGACTAAATTGGAAGGAGTTGATGCCTTCCTGCTTTCCCAAGCTGAGGTGTCAACAAGCGACCCGCTCGAACGCCTTAAGGCGGCGTGCATTGCCAAAGGGCCTTGGAGAGATCCTTGCCATGACAGGCGCGGTCAACAGTCTTGAAGAGTTCCTCAACAGGACGAGTCTTTGCTGGACGTTGAGCATGCAAGTCTACAGCTCAAAATTGACAAATCAACACTCTCGCATGTGTGTTTCCCCAAAGTTGTTTTTGGCATTTTTCCAAAGCAAACCGTGAACAGGATGCATCAATGTGATTTACAGTCGGCATTTTTTGCTGCAGTCTGAACATACGAACCCTCGCCCCACTTTCCTGTGCGCTTCCAACGGATGACTGCGTGGCGCAAACACAAGAACGCAGGCTTTCACCGCCTGGAACAACATCTGTCTTTGTAGCCCTATCCAACAGATTTACGTGTACCAGAGGATGTGTGAGGGAATGGACTGTAGGAGAGTGTCCAACAGAGAGTGGGGAGGAAGAAATGCGTGGTTGTTACGGAGTGCGCGTCATATTTCGTGCTTTGCCGCCTGATCCATTTGATAAAGTTGCAAGGCAACATAATATGTCTAGAGCCTTTCTGGCATTGGCCGTGTTCTTTGCTCTTGCAGAGTTTTATTCTGTTCGGGGTAGAGGAGCAGGATTTCCCAATGTCGTGCATTGGTTTGGCCTTTGGGCTGCTGAATGCGACGTTGGCTAAGGAGTGATTTTGGTGGATGCGAAGCCCCAGGCTCGCCAAACACATCTTGCGCCGCTTTCTACAACTCGGTGTCGGAGTTGGCTGCCGCAGGCTTCCAGGAAGGCTTCAGGAGCCACTTGTTGGTATCTGCAGCAGCATCGCAGCATGTTGCATCGCTGCCGTTTTTTTTTGCAGATGGCCAGCAGGACTGCGAGCAGAGTGCCAAGGGAGCGAGGAAGACGCGCCCGCGGACAGCGAAGGCGGGATTGACGCTTTTTTTGCTCGATATGTCATCCGGGAGTTCTCACATTGAAGCAAGGACCATTGCTTTCAGATGCCGACGTAGCGGAGCTGCTTGATGTTGTGGCGGTCCTCACAGAGCAGATCTTGCCCAACTCTGATTTGAGTTGGTGACCTGGCTCTCAAGTGCAAGAGACACAGACGAATCCAAGTCATGTTTGACCCCTCACAAGATTATCATGTTTTCAGCCCGTCCGGAGGCAACAACGTTTGGAACAACGTCGCTTGCCGACATGATGCGTTCCAGACCATCCGGCGTCTCCGAGTGCATGTCGGAGTCTGTGGAAGCTTCACAGCTGCGCGTGCCCGGATGGACCTGCCCAGTCACCAAGCTCAACTGAAGCCTGTCACTGAACACGCTCGAGTGCATTGCCTCACGGACTTGACCGATTGACCGATGCGAGCGGGCAAAAAGAAGTCGTCGCTGAGGGGAGGGGGGACTTTTCTTGGCGAGAGCGGATTTCGGATTTCGCGTTGGAGGCGCAACGGATGAATCTCAAGACAGCACAAAGATGGCGCGCCCCACACGTCGCCGAAACAACACCGGTCGCTTGAGTCGCCCGAAGTCTGTGCCAGTCGCAACTCTTCCAAGAGATTGACACCTCTGGCGACGGAGTCCTGCAGCTGGATGAGTTTGTGACAGGCATCGAGAAGGCCAGGAACTATTTCGAATACATCGTGTCTTTCTTTTTGAGGCTACGGTTTGTGGTTTAGCGGGCAGCTAAAGAAAGAGAGACCCAGTTTCGACTTGTTATATAAGTCACTCGGGCTTGAGTCTCGTTCACCTTGACTGCAGTTGCCTGGTCTGGACAAGCTCATGGTTGACGGTTCACCGCTGTCGTGCGTCACCCAGAACTGTGTTGCCCCAGATGATGGCGGTGACTGAGCCCAGGCATTCCAAGCTGGTGGACATTTCCAAAATCCTGGACGTGACACACGATGGGACTCTCAACTACCTGGAGTTTCAACAGGCGGGTTTTTTGCATCAGATGCGTCAACAGGCATGCCTGAGTCTGCGATCCGAGTTGGTATCATTGAGAATGGATCACCTTGCGATGCACAAGCATGTAGTTGCAGGGACAGACGGAGCCAAAGCAGTACATGAATGCGTGTGCCAGATGTGTTGCAACCCACTTGCTGGACAGCTAGACTCACCACAGCAGCCACAACAGCAACCTTGCTTGTTCGAATGTGTTCAATGTCAGGAAGACCCACAAGTCTAGGCACGATCAAAAGCAACAGTTGTTCGCGTACGTGTCAGAATCAAAAGACCTGTGCAGCCAGACATGCAAGTCCTGGAAATAGAAACGCCAGAAGGAGTGATAGCATGTTGAAGTGGGCTCCCGCTTGCACCGCCATATTGTGGCAGTCGCCCGAAAGGTCTTTGTATTTAGATATGAAGGGGACAACCTTTTGGTCTTGGTGTTGCCCCCGCGAAAGCTTGCAAAAGCACCTCCCGCAAAAAAGCAGTCGGGTCCAGTTCAGCACAACTTCCCAGCCGGATTTTCTGTAATGCTCCGCGCAAGATCTGCAACGTTTCGCGGAAGTCGATGTGTCTCCCCGCCAGTTTCCTTTCGAACATGGGTGCGCTTCGCGTCCTACTTTGGAACTTTGCGACTTTGAGCTGAGACTGCGGAAGTGTACTCCGTGTGCCAATTTTGTGTCAATTGGTTTGAATACAGCCCTGGCCGCGAAAGTCACTTTTCGTTCGCGAAGATGGCGTTTCCGGAAACAAGAAATTGCAGACAGCCGCGTTGTCCACGTCTCGGGCAGTCTATTGGCGGGGCATCTCGCGACGGGCATAGTGGTGTATCACCGGATCAGCGGCATCTGAGTGGCGCGCGACACATCCGCGGAGCGGATCGGCATGTCAGCGGTATTTTCCTCATGCGCAAGCACACGCCACATGCAAACTGGCATGCATTTTTTCTTGTGTGATCTGTGTGCGCGCACTCACTTGCTCCGTGGCCAGGCTTTTCAGCTGAAGGGACAGGGCACGACGGACTTGGAGAACAGTCTTGTCGAAGTCGCAAGCTCATGGCCATCCAAAGCCAAGTAATCCGTGAGCGCAATGCAGTTCTACTCAGGATCTTACCACGCTTCTTTTCCGCTGGGCCCTTGGGTGGCCGGGCCGAAAGGTCGGCTGAAAAGCATGTGCCGCATTCAGTTTGATCGACGTGGTTTGAGGCTACAGAGTTCATGTACGAACCGGCTGCCAATTCCTGGATGAAGCTGACAGTTGCAAAGTACTGACTGAGGACACTGTTGGTTGACTGCAACTGCAAAATCACATCTTGGCTTTCTACCAATGCAGGACTTTGAGAATGTGCTGCGTGGTGTGAACAATGCACTGCATTCGCCTGAGCCTCAGATTCTTGCCACGGGATGGTGCGGCTTGCCGGCAGCCTCAGGAACGAGCAGGGGATTTCGGAATCGCAGATCAAGCATTTGTCTTCGGCGCTTGCAGTGGAGGACGCACTGCAAGTTCAATAGAGCTCTTGCAGCTGCGTTGAGCAGCGGTTTTTTTTTCATTTCCGTTGAACATTGCACATGTCGCATTTGATTTGCCGCCTTGTCATGCAGGACGAGGAAGGAAAGATCATATCCTACGATGAGTTCTTGAGGCGCTGAAGCTGGGTCGCATCCTGCTGCGTAGTTCTCGCTCAGGTCCTTCGTCATTGTGGACACTGAGAATGGCAGTGTGATCAAATCCTTTCGAGGGTGAGCAAAATGGCTCACCCTTGATTGTGATTAGACATGCCTTACATCGGCGCAAGAGCTATTCACTCTTAGTCTATTCCCCAAACCAGCTTTGGCAAGTCAAAACTGATGCCAATCCTTATCCAGCGCAGAGATGTCAGCACAACTGACGAGTTGATGGGAGATGCCCGGACCCCGTTCTTCCACTCCCGCAGGACCCACCGTGCCAAATGGCACCAGCGGCCATGGCGGCCATCACTGCAAGTTTCCCATGGGCCAATCAAGATGATTGCGAGGTTTCACGCCACCAAGTGGCACTGCTTTCACATGGTCATGGCGCGGAAGAAACAATCCACCGATGCGACTCCTGTCCTGTGGCCTGCTTCGGCGGCATCCACCCAGGCAGCACTGGCATGAAAATGACAGTGCAGGCCCCACGAGCCAGCTAGATGTGGGCCACGAAGCAGATCTTACAATTCTCCGCATCGCACAAGCTTGCCATGCAACGAGCACTAAGTCTTGGGTTTCAATTTCCATGAACCTCACAAGCCTTGTACACTTTGGAGAAACCAAAAGCCGCAGGTGCCACTTCTGAGCCTCCCAAAACATTCAAGCAATCTTTGAGCAGTTAATCAGCGCGCAGCTTTTGCAACATGGCACATGGCAAGGACCCTGGGGTGCTCCCAGAATCTGGAGAGACAGCCGCAGCCAATACCAATACTTATCTAAGCGGATGAAGCCACAATCAAAACCCGGGTAGATGAAGGTTAGTAAGGGGCAGTCCCAGCCAGAAATAGTTACGGCCGCCTTCTTAGTTCTTTACATGGTTCTGGGTAGACCATTTCAATACCGGGTTTTGATTGTGACTCATATGGAAATTGGGGTTGCTCCCAAATCCGGTGTCAGTTGGGACACCATGAGTATTGTTTGTGGCTCAGCAGTATCAGTGCGAGGTCTGGCAAGGAGAACACGTGGAGGGATCACATGAGGCTCACAAACGTGTTGTGCAGGATCCCAAGAACATTTATCGAACGCTTGGTGTAGATGTTGATGCCGGCGAGGCAGAGATCAGGCTGGCGAAAGTACCTGCAACGCTTGCCACAATGTTGATATATCGAGCTGCAGGAAAGCCTATCGGCGACTTGCACTGAAATACCATCCCGCTGGCATCTCAGGCTTTTCGAATTCAAATGCAACAACCGCAAGCTTGTGTTTAATCCAAGGACAAGAATCAAAGTGAAGATGCTACAGCCGAGCATCGGCCTAAGCCGCAAATTCGCAAGCTGCCTTCGTTGCCTTGGCTCCACGCTTGAACTACTTCCCCTTTACATCCGTCCGCCTATCAAGCTGCTCCGCGTCAAGGTTTCAGAAGATTGCCAATGCATATGAGGCGGGGGGGCGGGGGGGGGGGGGGGGCGGCGGGGCAGGGCGGTGCGTACGTATGTATGTAATGTAATGTAATGCAATGTAATGTAATGGAATGTAATACAATGGAATGTAATACAATGCATGTGATGTCTGTGATGTATAAATGTATGTATGTATGCATGTGTGTAGTATAATGGAATGTATTGTAATGTAGTGTAATGCAATGGAATAAACTGAAATGTAATGTAATGTATGTAATGTATGTATGTATGTAATGTATTGTAATGAAAATTCATGCAATGTAATGTAATGAATTGTAATGTAATGTAATGTATGTAATGTAGTGTAATCCAATGGAATGAAATGAAATGTAACATAATGTGTGTAATGTAATTATGTATGTAATGTATTGTAATGCAAATTCATGCAATGTAATGTAATGTAATGTAATGTATGTAATGTATGTATGTATGTATGTAATGTAATGTAATGTAATGTAATGTAATGTAATGTAATGTAATGTAATGTAATGTATGTATGTATGTATGTATGTATGTATGTATGTATGTATGTATGTATGTATGTATGTATGTATGTATGTATGTATGTATGTATGTATGTATGTATGTATGTATGTAATGTATGTATGTAATGTAATGTAATGTAATGTATGTATGTATGTATGTATGTATGTATGTATGTATGTATGTATGTATGTATGTATGTATGTATGTATGTATGTATGTATGTATGTATGTATGTATGTATGTATGTATGTATGTATGTATGTACGTATGTATGTATGTATGTATGTATGTATGTATGTATGTATGTATGTATGTATGTATGTATGTATGTATGTAATGTATGTAATGTATGTATGTATGTATGTATGTATGTACGTATGTATGTATGTATGTATGTATGTATGTATGTAATGTAATGTAATGTAATGTAATGTAATGTAATGTAATGTAATGTATGTATGTATGTATGTATGTATGTATGTATGTATGTATGTATGTATGTATGTATGTATGTATGTAATGTATGTATGTATGTATGTATGTATGTATGTATGTATGTATGTATGTATGTATGTATGTATGTATGTATGTATGTATGTAATGTATGTATGTATGTATGTATGTATGTATGTATGTATGTATGTATGTATGTATGTAATGTATGTATGTATGTATGTATGTATGTATGTATGTATGTATGTATGTATGTATGTATGTATGTATGTATGTATGTATGTATGTATGTATGTATGTATGTATGTATGTATGTATGTATGTATGTATGTAATGTATGTATGTATGTATAATGTATGTATGTATGTATGTATGTATGTATGTATGTATGTATGTATGTAATGTATGTATGTATGTATGTATGTATGTATGTATGTAATGTAATGTATGTAATGTAATGTAATGTAATGTATGTAATGTAATGTAATGTAATGTAATGTAATGTATGTAATGTAATGTATGTATGTATGTAATGTAATGTAATGTAATGTAATGTAATGTAATGTAATGTAATGTAATGTAATGTAATGTATGTATGTAATGTATGTATGTATGTATGTATGTATGTATGTATGTATGTATGTATGTATGTATGTATGTATGTAATGTATGTATGTATGTATGTATGTATGTATGTATGTATGTATGTATGTATGTATGTATGTATGTATGTATGTATGTATGTATGTATGTATGTATGTATGTATGTATGTAATGTATGTATGTATGTAATGTAATGTATGTATGTATGTATGTATGTATGTATGTATGTATGTATGTATGTATGCATGTATGTATGTGTGTAATGTATGTATGTATGTAATGTATGTATGTAATGTTGTAATGTAATGTAATGTAATGTAATGTAATGTAATGTATGTAATGTAATGTAATGTAATGTATGTATGTATGTATGTATGTATGTATGTATGTATATGTATGTATGTATGTAT